ATTTCACTTAATTTCATGTAATTTGACCAAGGGCTCCCAGACTTTTGCTTACAACTGTGTTATTGATATAATAATAGTAATTATAATGGATGTGAAAATACATGAATGAGAGTTCTTTAAATGATTTTACTGTATTTTACTGTACAGTACTTTTCCAGGCTGCAGCTGAACACTGCAGGACAGCCCGATAGTAAGGCTGATATGCTGCTTACTGCTGACTCTTTTGGACGTGTGATACTGAATATATGTGCGCTAACTGTAAGGGGACATCTAGAAGACGCTAAAGTCTCCATGTTCATAACTTATCCTTATAATATTGATGCTACTGCTACAATGAGAAAAACAAAATAATCCTAAATGTGCAGCTGTCATATATGTGTGCATGTAGACAAGCTGTGGCTGAACTGTGAAGGAGCTGATACCCTCACCCAGACTGCAGCACTTTAATAAGCTGCTCTTTATCATTCATCGTCACTGCCCGATGAAGATCGTTCCCGTTAATCGGCTCTCCTGAGGAGAAACACACAGACGAGTGTGCAGACAGCATGCACAAAGGTAGACGTCAATGCATTACTGAAAACATTTGATTGCATAATTTGTTGTGCTATTCTGGTGTTTAGATATGTGTGCATACGTGCAGTAGACACTGTCAGTACAGGACTGTACAGATGTTCTCCAGATGGAAAGCGGCTCTTCAGCCTGAACTTGTACGCAGTGTTGGGTTCCAGATCCTCCACTGTGAACTGAGTATTAAATCCCCTGAACTCAGCAAGACAAAAGATCAGAAACACTATTAGTCTGCACGAATATCTGCTAAGTGTTCATTAAGGCACTTAGTTCCAGCAAGCAGGAGGCTAATTTCAAAGGTGATATTAAAATTAGATTTCATATCAGACTTAATTATTAAGCTTAAAACTATATTTTGCAAATGTGATGACAGGTCAGCTACTAATACTTTACATATTACATAACACTCAGCTTCAAAGGCAGGACTGTCCAGTAGCAGAACAAGCAAGGAGCATGGAGCATGCTAATTGGTGTGAATGTTTTGAATAAACATGCAGATGAAAATTTTGGATATGTGTCCTCACACATATATCTCATGGATGCTGCGCTTTCTGGGATCCTCTTTCTCTAATCTGAAACAGGTCCAGTTATCAGGAGGACCCAGCCGTCTCTCTTTCTCCTCTCCGTTCCAGCTCAGCTCGATGCTGTGGTGGCTCACCTGTCCAACGACAAGTGTCTCACGCAGTTCACTCTCACCTGCTAGGGAGGAGAAAAATGCTTCACTATACCTGACTGTAGGTGGCACTAAACACGAACAAAATGTCCCCTCTCAAAACAATATGTGGTCTTGTGGTCATCTTTTAGTTCTTAGTACTACAACCCAAAACAGACAAAGTATGGTAAAAAGCAAATAAAAAGGAAAGCAGTGATTTCTAAAATTTATTTTGACTCGTATGTCATTGCAGACAGCATGAACATAAGATATTTCATGTTTTGTCTGGTCAACAGTTCATTTGTAAATGTACTTCCATTCCTGCCATTCAGGCCTGTAACACATTCCGAAAATGATGGGACAGGTAAAACAATTAAATAATAATGTGATTTGAAGGTGATGCCAACAGGAGAGTGTAAATTATATTTGGTACAAAAGCAGCATCCAGGAAAGGCCTAGTTCTTTAGGAAAGGAAACCTTATGTTAAGGTATGTCCAGAAGGGCTGTCTACTTCTCTGGGCTTGGAGGTATCTGGGATGGACCATCACACAGTGGAAACGGATATTGTGGCCACATGAATCAGTATTTCAGGTCTTTTTTGGAAGAAATGGATGTTGTGTGCTCTGGACCAAATATGAAAAGGACGTTCCAGACTGTTACCAGCAACGATTCCAAAAGCCAGGGACTGTCATAGTATGGGGTTGTGTCAGTGCCCTTGGCAAAGGTTACTTCTGTGATGGCACCATTAATGCCAAAGAGTACATAGAGATTTTGGAGCAACACATGCTGCCGACATCTTTTTCAGGGACACCCACGTGTGTTTCAACAAGTCAGTGCAAAACTACATTCTGCAGACATTACAAAGGCATGGCTGTGGAAGAAGAGGATGAGGGTGCTAGACTGGCCTGCCTGAAGTTCTGATCTGACCCAACAGAGAATGTGTGGCACATTTTAAAATAAAAAAATGAGACAATGAAGATCTTGTACTGCTGCACACCTTAATACTTGTGTGCAGGAAGAATGAGACAGAATTACACCTTAAATGCTTAATCACTTGGTGACTTCACTCTGTAAATGTCTTTTAAGTATTGTTAAAAGCAATGGCAACATTACAAAGTGGCAAATGCTTTACTTTCTCAACTTGTTTAAAAATATTTAGCTAGAACCAAAATCAAAATGTGTTTATTTTAAAAAACAAAACAAAAAAAAAAATCATGGGGTAAAACATCAAATAATGTGATGTACTGTTTTCAATGTAATACAATGTAAAAAATAATTTACAAATCACCGTTTTCAGTTTTAATTTTAATTTAACATACTGCCCCAATTTACGTATTTTATCATAGGCCTATCTGTGGTGCTCGGTTTAATAGGTCTAATGTGATATTCTGTCAGAATATCCCTGATCTTAACATTTCTAGATCAAATCCATGAAACAAAGCTACTTCAAGTTACATCATAAATCATTTGGCGAGTGTGAATGTGAGAAGGTGTAATGATTCCCAATCTATTGTCCAGTACGATAGAGGGGGGCATCTGTCTGGTTATTTGAGACCACTCACTCATTAACCTGTACTTAGCTTACAAACGATCTTTCCCTGTTTAACATGCCAGATGGATTCAGAAGATATTTTAGCATACATTCGTGCATTACACAAAACATAAGTATCTGGAATTAAAATTTTGCAGTTTTAAGTTGCAAAGTTACAGTTAGTTTACTGGAACTGGGTTGTTTTATCCCACTTTCTTGTATACTCAAACCATTGTCCTTCCTGGATTCATGTGTACTGTTGTACTGAATAAACTGTCAAAATACATATCAGCCTATGTTGTTTTACCTTAAAAAAATTAGTAATGCTTCTTTAAAATGTTGAGTTCACTGAACTTCAAATAACTGATTTGTAGTCTGTGAACTCAGCACCGTTACTAATTGTTAAATATCAATTTCTGCTACTTTTTATATTCAAATTGTGATATAGATGATTTTACCTGGCTGCTCCATTGTTGAGGTCGAGGACACTGAGCCTGCTGATTTCTTCACTTTCTCTTCTCTCCAGATGCTGAGCTCTGTCTGCTGCCTGTTTACTGTTGCTATAGAAACGACGCACATGCGTACATCTGAACATGAGTACTGAACCCCTAAAAGCAGAAAGACCAGAAACAGCATTAGACTGCACTACTATCAGCTCGCGTTAACCTCTCATTAACACTCAGTTCAGATAACGCTGGATGCTAACTGAGCTAGCTAGGTTAACTAACTACTGAAGGACATTCAAATTCGATTCCCTTCTTCACTCCGACGCTAAGAAGACGGAAACAGAGACGACGGTCTTGTTTTCAGGTGTCCATACGTGTTCCTGGCTGAACTCTCACCCTATACTCGCAGTGCTCCACTCGACTGTCCAGAGGACCTCTGCAGTGAGGAACTGGTAACCTAGCAACCAACATCAACTGACAGGATAAAGTTCACGGACCCAAAAACATAGTATGGTTACATATAATATCCTGCAAAAAACAGCTGAGCTGCTTTTTTTCACAAAGCAGGCTTCCTCTGTAAGGGGCAAAATGCAGGGGTGGGTTTTTGCTCTCTGGACCTGATTTACCCACTTCTGTTTTAGAGTATTTGGAGTAAAATCACACATAGCGAACTACTCCAGTGGCCACATTCAGACACACCGCTCCTGCACACACCTCTACACCACTGTTTCTCAACCCAGCTCCTGGAGGCCCACTGTCCTGCACATTTTAGTGCTTTTCCTGCTTTAACACACCCACTTTAAACCAATAATGGGCTGTTAATGAGCTGATTAGTTGGATCAGGTGTGTTGGGAGCAGGGAAAACACTAAGAAGTGCAGGGTAGTGGGCCTCCAGGAGCTGGGTTGAGAAATACTGTCCTACACTGTGGCATCTACTTTATATATAATTTGCTCAGGCTCTTTAAAGGTCAGTATCATAGAAAAACAATTTTTCTGTGTTTGTTAGTTTAAATGAGAGTTTAATATAGTACATAAACACAAATGTACCGTTTGCTCCCAGGCTGTATGGCCCAAATATGGAAATGTAGCTTTAAAAAAAGCTTGTTTTGAATTTATTAATTTTGTGATGTCACAAAAACCACCGCATATATCCACATATATTCAGTCCACAGCAGTTTAGCTCTGCCTTTTTATGCTGATGTTATAAGGTGGGTTTCAGCCTGGACTGCTTTTTGAATGAGGCATAATACAGGACAGCCAGTCAGAACAGATGTTATTTGCATACATTAGTTTTAAAGGCACAGTCACATTTTAAAGGCACAGTCATATATATATATATATATATATATATATATATATATATATATATATATATATATATATATAGAAAAGGCAGGAAACCTCTAAAATGTGCAACACATATCGTTCCAGCACCAGGATTGAGAACCCTAGAAAGAACAGCCTTTGAGCAGTGGTCACCAACCCTGTTTTTGGAGATCTACCTTCCTCCGCAGTCTAGATCCACCTGCAACACACCTGCTCCAGTTAATTAACTTCTTCAGAAGTCTTTGGATAAGATGCATTTTCTTAGGGGGCGGCGGGGGGGGCGGTTAGATGCACGTTAGAACTAAACTCTGCAGGGAGCGCTGGTGACCACTGCCCTAGTGTGCGTATCTCAAGTCACTGGGCAGTGAGGATTTTTGTTGTTTTGAATTAGCAGCCAATCCCAACGCAGGACGCCGGACACCACTAGCCAATCCCAGCAGAAGAGGCGGGACTAGTCGGCATACGGGTGGGAAAACTACCCTAAATCCATCGAGACCTTCTCATTGGTGCGGCACGTGGGTTCAGCTCTGTAATGATGAGAGAGGCTAAGCAGAACAGCCGCAGCAACAAGTGTCCGAGTGATAGACCTAAAACTGGAAGTACGAGGTGTTTCGGACATTACATAGCAGAGATGTCGTATGCGCTTGTTTAGAAGCTCACAGGAGAGTGATTACTGAGAACCAGCACATTTTGGGACAAACTGAAGACTCTAGGAGCCCTTTGTGAGCCGGGTGGGCGCCATGGAGCTCAGCAGCAGTGCTGAAGAAAGAGAACTAAGTTCACAGTTTGTGGAGGGATCCGATGATGTGTTTGGCTTTGGAGATGATCTGGAGCTGAACCAGTTCGATGGTCTGCCCTACTCCTCCCGATATTACAAACTTCTGAAAGAGAGAAAGAGCCTCCCAATCTGGGGAAGCAGAGGAGAATTCATTAAGGCCTTAGAAAGCAATCAGCTCATCATCGTCTCAGGCACGACGAAGACTGGAAAAAGTACACAGGCAAGTTTCAGTGCATCCTCTGTTTTCTCTATCATGTCTGTTGGCTTGTTTTTTATGCTGGCGTCTCATGTTGTTATGTTCTTATTCTTGTTGTATGTTTTTTATGCTCTCATTTCAAAACTGAGTCTATGTCAAAGAAAATGTTCCACATTCTGATTCCACATTTGTGCTTTACATAGAGTCAGAGATGGACAGAATACTTTGAACAAGTAGTGAAGGCTGATCATTGAATACACTGTCCTGAATGTGTTCAGTAAAGTATTACATCACATACAAAACCAGTAACATATTCAGAATATTTGCACATGGGAAAAATTCTGCTGTTATAATTTTTAATTCACGCTGTTCCTTGCTGGCATTTTCTTCTTGTAATTCTTCTTTTAATGTTTGATGAAAAAATTCATCTGCTTCAATCAATCCACTGCTGTTCCCATAATCCCACTGCTGTCTCATGATTTAAGCAAACAGTTTGCCATAGCCCAATAACAAAATCTTGCAAACCTGACTATAAAGTGGTTAGTTCTAACACAGACACTAAGCTTATTCCTTGTGAAGTTCCATCATTTCTCAAAAACACCTTTAGTAACATTTTTAATAACTGATAATCATATTGGTTTATCAGTCTACTCAGGCTTTAGTATGGACTTCAGTTTGTAAAGAAGCTCTGATTGTTTTTTTCTTTATTGTACACCTTTACACACTGATTTTAAATGACTTAATGAACAAGCAGTGATGGTGTTTCTTTGAAAGATGGTATATATATTTTTTTTAATTTCAGTGGGTAAGTATTTAAAAGTATTCTCTGACAAATGTAAAAGTAACTATATTCAAAATGTAACTTGGACTGAATACAGATAGTTAATTTCTGTATTCAGAATATGTATTCCCAAAACCATAGCATAAAGCTTATACAATTCAGATAATTCAGACTTTCCTCTCACCTGTTTGTACATAATGCCTTGCAGTTTTATTTTTTTATTTTATTTATTTATTTATTTATTTGAAGGAGACAGTAGTTCACAGCACAAAACAGTAACCTCTGGTTGTTGTTCACAGCTGCCATTGATATTAAATTATTGTATCTGCAGTCCATGCACTTTTATTTATTTAACGTTTGCTTACCATGTGGGTCGAGCCACAGGTCACTCATTATGTAATCCTTTGGACTCATTTCACCCATGTTAGCTGATACTGGGCATCTGACTGGGGAGTACCTAGATCCTTTTACTTGGTTTCATGTACTTAAAGTGCCCGTATCATGGAAAAGCACCTTTTTCTCACTTTTATGCAATAAGGGTTGTTTGCAATGAGAGTCTGAAAACATCTGTTACATTTTCCAAAATGTACCAGTCGCTCACAAGTATACATGGTCCATATACAGGAGCAACGCTGCATAAACAGCTAGTTTTGACTTGAGTGTTTTTGTGATTTCACATACAAACATGTCCACATATAAAGCATGTTACAAATGATTATACAGCATTTTTAATGAAACTCTTTACATATCTGTCTATTCAGCCTCCAACAGTTTAGCCCTGCCTATTCACTTTGACATTATAAGGGGTATTTTATCCTTAATGACTTTTTAAATGAGGCACAACACAGGGCAGCCAATCTGAGCAGAGTTCTTTTACATATCAGTCTTAACAGCACATAAACCGACAAAAACAGCCTGTTTAAGGGATAAAAAAGGTTGTGAAAGGATCACAATTAGGACAGTTTTTGGTTCATAAACACACAAATGGCATAAGTGGATCTCAGTGGAAAAATGTTCCTCACTGTTTTAAATTAAAAAGTTTGATGTAGTGTCTAAAGATTGTTAAAGTTTTCAGACCTACGATTAACTTGCCAGTTCATACAATCCATATATGGAACTAAGCGGGGAAAAAGACACCCATTTTAAATTTATTATTTTTGTGATGTCATGAAATTAAGTGCGTTTACATATATCTACATAAGTTTAGCGCTGGCCTTTCAAGCTGAAGCTATAAGTAGTGTTTCAGCTCATACTGCTTTCTGAATGAGGCGAAAGGTATGGCAGCTAATCAGAACTGAAGTCATTTACATATACATACAGTATATAAACAGTAACAAAAACATCATTTTTATTTCTAAGAGACAAAGCGAGGTGAGACAATGGTCATGTTTAACAAATTATGACCGTTTTTGGTCATTTAAACAAACTCCACAAATGTCAACCCGTAACACTCATAGTTCTACTCAAGTACAGTTGAGAGTTCCTCTACAGTTCTTTCAGGAAATGCTTCATAGGGTTTTGCGCTGATACTTACTTTTTTTAACCCATACTCAATTTGAGTATGGGCATTTATTATTACTTCATTATTTAAGTAAAGTCAATAGCTTTTGCTTGCATGTTGTATTAGCCTACTCCACCTACCTCTGCTGAGCCGTTAAAAAGGGCCATGTGATCACCGATGAAACTGAAGTCATCCGTAGCTAAAGTGTCCTGTGTTCATTAGAAAGTGTGTCAGAAGAGCAGACAATGGCACTAACAGGCAAGCTGATAGTGTCAGGCCCTGAAGAGCTCCTAAATATAGAGGAGGGAACTTTAGACTGTACTGATCTCCTTTCTTCACACACTCACTGACATGAAGACTTGCAGGGGTCAGGCTGAGCTCAACTTAGAACTGACCTGCTGCGTTGTGCGTGGCGAAGCACATTACTGTCTGGCTGAAATGCCACAAGGGTGTGGTTACAGACCTCTGCTATAGAGACCCTACCAGCTGAAGCTACTTCATCATTAAGAGAAAGCCAGGCTGAGGCCTGAATGTGGTTGGCCTCATTCAGAACGTTTGCTGCGTGTTGGTAACAGACATAGGGTTTTTGCTGTTACGACTGTGAATCTTTTAGTAGAAAAAGGTCATCTCAATGGGCAGGCCTGCTGACCATTGACATGATCACGATGTTTAGGGATAGAGAAAACATATTTTCCTAATCACAGTAAAAGCTAAATAAGTCTATTCATTGTGGGTCATGCTACAGTTTACCAAAACAGGAGGGTCTTTGTTTTGTGTCCTATAACTAAATAGTAAATCTTAAGCAGATGGTTTGTTCAATTGTAGAAAATGTGACTTTGCTTTGCATCCCACAGTGTGACTGTTGTACAGAGATTATACAATGAGTATACCCAATACTCTGAGTAAATCTGGGTAACCCACTGCTGTCAGACTGAGGTCAGATGCTGTGTAGCTGGCTACTGGACAGACGGTCTCCCTCTAAAAAGCCCTCCTCTTTACACACCAAATGCGAGTGGTGTCCCAGTGGCAGTGAGTACTGACCAAGTGTCCTGAGCTCAGTAGATGCTGTTATGTGGCTAATGGCTGGGTGGAGGGTTTTCCCAGGCCTGCCAGCCTGGCAGATAATAGCCTAAAGCTCCAGCTGCTAAGCTCAAAGCGAGAAAGCTCTTACATAGGCCTCCCACTGAGAAACGCCTCTGATCCACTGCCCAGGACCCAACACTCTGATGCCAAAGCAGTGTCCATTAGCATTAGAGGAACAGAAAGGATTCAGTGTTTTCCTTGATGTTTGCATGATTAAATCAATTGTTTACAAAGTTGCTTCAACATTTATGTAAGAAGTTCTGGCATAATATCTGTGTGATGAGAAAAACCTATGACACAATTTTTTTTTATTCGGATACATCTTTTTTTCCAAGAGTCATTGTCTTAGTGTTTTAATGTTGTTTGTAGAGCATGTTTTTAAATCAGATGTCTGTGTATTTATGTATTTTGTGTAGATTCCCCAGTGGTGCGCGGAGTTCTGTCTGTCAGCACAGTATCAGCATGGTGTGGTGGTCTGTAGTCAAATCCAGAGGCAGCAGGCCGTAGACCTGGCCTTGCGTGTAGCTGATGAGATGGATGTCAACATTGGCCATGAGGTGGGCTACTGCATACCACTGGAGAATTGCTGCTCCAGTGATACTATTCTCAGGTATGTGCAAAATGCACACACATGTACACACTTGCATAGCTTTAATACACTCTGAAAGGTGCTGTGCTGTGCCACGCAGCGTCATTATGGATCCTGCATTTTTATAGTTGATTGGGATTTCTTTACAGCAAATTTGGCCTAATTAAAAAAATATATATAATTAATTATATTGTTTTGGCTAGTTTTTATTAGCATTGTTTTTTAACCCAAAGTACTTTCTGCTAGCCAAAGTTGCAATATAAATAACATTTCATATTGTTAATGGGTTCAATTGGCATTTTAAATTCTTAAGCAGCAATTCTGTTGATTCTGATCTTGGGTGGCTCCGATCATGCATCTCATTGAGTCATTCGGAGCCTATGCCAATGCCATACAGAGCCATATTGTGAATATCGTGTAGAGCTGAGCCAATGTTGTGACCTGCCAAGCCATGTAAAACCAAACAGAGCCATGTTGCGCTGTGCTGCATGACACGTATTGTGTGCAGCAAGTCCAAGTAATACTGCACATCAATGCATATTACTGACATGCAAACCTGTGGCACATTTAAAGATGATTCAATATTCCTAATTTTACGTAATGTACTTTATTTATTTATTTATTTATTTATTTATTTATTTGTTTGTTTATTTTTAACCCTGAAAACTTTTGCAGGTATTGCACCGACGATGTTCTACTCAGAGAGATGATGTCAGACCCATTACTAGAGCACTATGGGGTGGTGGTGATTGACCAGGCCCATGAACGCACAGTGAGCACAGACCTTCTCCTTGGTCTGCTTAGGGAGGTTCTCATCCAGCGTCCAGAGCTCCGGGTCGTGGTGCTGTCTGTCCCCCCAGCCTCAGACACACTGGTCGCGCACTACGGGGGTGTTCCCCACCTGCATGTGGAGGCCACAGGCTCTTCTGAGGTGGTCTACAGCAGTGGAGGCAGAACAGAGAGCTTCTGTGCCGCTCTGAGGCTCGTTCTGGAGGTGCACAGGGCCAAAGAGCCAGGGGACTTGGCTGTTTTCCTTGCCTCGGAACAGGTGCAGGCTCTGTTGTCGAATTTACATGACTTTCCACTGTACAAATGGGTTTGGATTAGTAGTATGAGTGGAGTGAAAATTGAGAGTGTTTCAGACAGATGTCATTAATTTGCGTGTGGTCCATTGACTTCTACCATCTGGACAAAGCTTTGGCATTGTCGGTATGACTAGACAGGTTGAGTAATTACAAAACTTGATGCCTAAATGAGGAACCACCAAACCAGTGCCACAGCTATCCTAAGATGATGGCTAACAACGTGGTAGAATTGTATCTGTAATACTCGTTAATAGGAGCAGTTTTATTCAGAAGCCTGTGATGTTGATGCACTGAATGGACTGGCAGGGTGCAGAGATTTCTAATTAGACTTAATCTTCAAACTGGAATTTCTGTATTCTGTACACTCTGTTAACCATGTGCAGTTTATTTTGTCAGTCACATCGTGTTCTGAAGATAGAACAAAGAAGTTTAGCTCGACAGAGTGAGTTGATAGAGTGTGTGTGTGTGTGTGTGTGTGTGTGTGTGTGTGTGTGTGTGTGTGTGTGTGTGTCCACCCAGTCCTTTTGTTTTACAGCAGTGGTTCTTCAACTGTTCCTCAGGGCTCCCCACACAGTACACATTTTTGCTCAATGCCAGTTCCCGGCAGATAGAGCAAAAATGTGGACCGTCTGGGGGTCCTGAGGATTGGTTTGAGCACCACTGTTTTAGGTAGTGAAGTTTTATGTTAATGAATTATAACAAAGCCTACATTTTAGATGAAAAGCGTATGATAAGTGGACTAAAACCAGATTTTGTATGTGTTAGGAGGTCGGCTGTGCCTGCAATCTTCTGGCTAAAGAAGCAGCCAGGCTAAGCAGTAATCTTGGGGACCTGGTGCCAGTGGCTCTGTGCCCGGGCCATGCCGGGATCTGCCCACCAATCACCGAAGGACAGAATAAAAGCAGGAGGGTCTTTCTCTCCTGCAGCCAGTCAGAAGACATGTTTTGGTCAGTGGGCACAGTGAATTTTGTGATTGACACTGGAGTGGAGAAGAGATATGTAAGTGATATATTGATTGATATATTGATAGAAAATAATGGTTTCTGAATTATACTATGTGGAAATGAATGGCTTAGATCCAAACATAAGCCTTATCTGAGAACTGTAATTTCATATCTGCAGTATAGTGATATCACAGTGCATTTTAGGAAGCAAATCACAGGCTGTTTCAGTGTTTGTAACTCTGTAACTGTACAAAATATTCTCTTACACTTTTTGAGTTATAAGTTGTTCTCTGCTTATTTGCACTGTGATTGTACTCAGAAGCCAGTTGACTGAGTGTTACATACTAAGTACACACTTAAAAAAAAAAAATAAAGGGTTCTTCAGGAGTTCTTTAGACAAGGCAGTGGTTCTTTTTAGAATCATTTAGCACTATATAAAACCACTTCATGCATGCGTGTTTCTTTGCCTGATGAAATGGTTCTTCAGATGATGGAGAATGTGATTTATATGGTTCTAAATAGCACCAAAAAGGATTCTGCTATTGTTACAATGTCAAGCTTGTAATGAAAAAATAATGTTAGACAGGGTCATATATAACACATTCTTCATCTTAAGAACCATTTCACCACGCAAAGAACCATTTAAGCATGAAATTATTCTATATAGAACTCATAGTTTTAAATAGAATCATGGCTTTTACTAAAGAACCCTTGAACCTTCTAATACACATCTGTTAATGAAGGGTTTTGTTCCAAAATACATTACAGACCACTTTCAAGTAAGTTCTTTTTTCATAATACACAGTGTTGGGATTGGGCTTTAGACAAGAATTATCAATGTACTATTACTATTGTTGTTGTTGTAAAAATAATGTTTTCCTGTCATACATCACCTGCTGTTCTTTTTAAAAACTTCTTATGTCTAAAATTATCACAAATGGATGTACAGCATTTTGGAATGAAACTCTTCAAATACACAGTCCTCTTTCATCATTTTACCCAGGGCTGTGTCTGTGGCAAACATTTACAAAAATAGCTTAGACTGAATAGGATGTTTGTTAGGTTCACCTCCCCTTTCCATGAAAGATTTCTTGGTTATTGACCAAAGACTTTCTAATTGGTTGAAGTGAAAAAGCAGTTCAAAGGGAGAATATAGGTTATTTTTTTTTGATGGGGACAAGAGTTTAGGTTCCTGCTATTGTGGCCATTTCCTCTCATTATATGTGACACAGACCATGTTCAGATGCATTGCTTCCTAGTCTTTTGCCATATTTTTGTGGAAGTTTGCAAAAATGTGTATTATTTATATATATATATGTATATATATATATATATATATATATATATACACATACACACATACACACACACACACACACACACACACATACACATATATTGCTCTTGTTAGTGTTTAACTGTATTTGTATGTTTGTGTGTATGTATGTATATATTTAATGTTATTAGATTACTGGTAATGTTGTATTCTCTAGGTGTATAACCCACGTGTGAGAGCCAATTCCGAGGTGATCAGACCTATCAGTAGATGTCGGGCGGAGATCCGTAAACAGTTGTCGGGCTCAGCAGGTAAGACAGCCGAAACAGCTGTTGAGACAAGCAGTCTGAAGAATTTCCATTTAAAGCACATGTGATTTCCACAAAACACTGTCTGGTTGATTCCTGCCCAGTATATTCTTTAAGTTTTCAGACAGCCATGTGTATCTTAAGACTGTAATCTTAAAACTGTTCAGAGTTGTCCAGTAAGTTAGCCAGTTGTTCATAGCAAAGCGCAAGGCTTTTGTACAGTGCAGATAGAGCTATGCTGTGTAGAATAGACTTTCCATTCAAGAGTATAATTCTAATTTAATTTATCACGGTCTACAAAGTTATATAATGTTTTATTTCTGATCTGGATTCGATTTTACCTTGGAGTAGTGTAGCAAAAGTGTTTTAAATACAGCCTTAAATTTAATCTGGATCAGTAAAATTATACTTAAACTGAAACTGCAAGAAGCTTCTATAGTTTTGGTAATGATTCTCCATGCTAAATCCTACATTGTGCTGGGCTACACTTAATGTAATCCTCATGGTCTGTGTGTGAATAGGGAAGTGTTTCTGCCTGTACCCTGAAGAGGCTGAGCTGCCTGCTGAGATTCCTGCTCGGATCCTGGAAGCGAACATCACCTCCGCTGTGCTCTTCCTGAAGAGGATGGAGGTGGCTGGACTCGGGCACTGTGACTTCATCAGCAGGCCAGGTCAGCCCTGGAGACCACAGTCCATGTTTATAAAGGATCTGTGATCAGTTTCCCCATCACTATAGTTATATTCCTTAGGATTTGAAAGGCAAAAGCTGGTTCCATGTCAGAATTTGTATCCAGGGCCATACTCAGTAGTGAAATAATACATAAAGAAATAGCTTTACAAAGTGGGTAGGTTTTCACACATGGTTTGTGAATGGTCAGGGCTGATAGTAGGGCTGTGTTCATAATATCAATATAGCAGTATTGATGTTATTGATATAAGCTCAGGCTTTATCACTGTATCCATATTTTTCAGTTTACTCTTGTAGAGAATCAGTGTCACGTCATGCTAATGGGATCTTTCTCCCATATTGGCAGGGTTCGTTCTTTTTTTACATACTGCCAATCTTCACATACACTGAGAGAGTTTAAAGAGAGTGCTGTTTTACTGTGGTTTTTCAAGCTTGTCATGATAAAAGTGAATCAAATGAAATAGCATTAGATCTCAACCAACTCCAGAAGGATGCTTTACAACTATATAATGATAGTTCAGTTTTGTCCTTATTGGTGATTTGGGTACAAACTTCCTAATAATGAGTGGAGTAATGATCTGGATATGCTAAGGTTACCTCCTCTTTCATTCACAAACGTTTTCAGAGTTCACTTTCTGTGCTCTGACCAGCACATTAGAGTGAACCACACCTATAATATAAATCTTAAATGCTCCAGCTGTATTTATTCTTTGGTATTTTATGTTGGTACAGGTTGTGCAGAGTAAGCTAATATGCTGTCGGTTAAGTATAAACTTGTTGCATTTACCCTGGCTCACAGATCAATACAGCTCAGCTAGCTCTTTTAACATTTAAATAATGGAAAACTGAAAAAATTAAACTGCAGTGAAGACACTGGTCTTTTGCTGCTTGAGAAAAGTGCTTTTGGCAATTTTATTTTATAGTAAAGATAACGATACTGTATGTGTTGATGTATTTAAATATTGTTAGAAGAATATTACAGTAGCTTTAAAATAAGGTGTATGATGCAATTTAATCTGTCCTGAAAATTGTTTTACCATTATTCAACACGAGATGCTGTATAAAACTGTAAACCACATCTAAAGTACCATACTGGCTTAAACACAGTACATTATTATAGGAACAGAAGTTCTTTACAGTGTGTCTGGTATGTTGTCATTATATTGTATTAATACGCTTGTTTTTTAATGCTGTCGTATTCTGAAATTGCTAACACTAGCTGACAGCAGTGTATCGCTGTTGTGGGAAGAAAACCTCTCATCTCTATTTTTGACGTTTTTCAGTTTTTTACATACTTTGAAAATATCGTTTACATTATATGTAAATTTCATGATGAATGGACTAAAAGAAACAGGCCAAAATGACTTGGTTGTCTGGCTCCATTGACTTGAAGTAAAGTAAAGTAGGTTTTTTCCTTTTCCTAAAAAGTTACCATTTTGGAGGTATAAGGTTTTCTTCTACAACAGTGATATGGTGTATGTATTATATGGAAGGTCATTTTTCTAGATATGCAGTGATCAAAGGTTCAGGTTCGTGTCAAAGACAGAGAGATTGTGAGTTTGTGTTTAGCTGGGGTGAATGCAGTTACAGAGGGTTCTGCGTGCTCTTAGAATAGTACAGGGTGTGTGTGCGTGCCTGTGGCACAGATGGGTCAGTGTCTGTGGGTGCTGGTGTTCGCTGATGCGTGTTAGCTGTGCTGACAGCACTAGTCTCTGCTAGCCTCTGCATCATTGTTGTGTAGCATGAGCTCGTCCTGCGTGGGTAACACTAATGATCCTGTGAGCTCAGCGAGACACTGACCCAGAGAAAGAGCTCTGTTCTTTAGATATGACAGCGCAGGCCTTGTTAGACCAGCAGACACAAAGAACAGGAAAAGAGGGTTCAAACACTGTGTCACACAGGAATGTGATCATCAGACATCAGAAATAGAGGACTAGTGTAGTTACTTTCACTGTACTAAAGCATGGCAGCCTAAATCACAGTGTAGAGAAGGTTCTAAACCACTTTCCCAATCCTGACCCTCAAGTACCGCAGCACTGCACATTTTAGTGCTTCCTCTGTTCCAACACTCTTGACACTCATGAGTTCAACATCAGTGTGTTGGACAAAGGGAAGCACCAACATGTGCATTGCAGGGGACCTCCGAGAGCAAGATGGAAAACTTCTGTCCTGAATGAAAAGGACTCAATTACACAAAAGCATTTTGGCAGGTCATCATATCACACAGAACAGCAAGAATAACTTTGAATGGGAGGATCTTAATACAGTCAGAAAAAAATGTGAGATATTTGTGCCTGAAAACTGTGTACTGTTAACACATCTAAACAAAGGTCTTTGGGAACATGAGTTTCTATTGCAAAGTTAAGTCAATGTGATGTGATATTTATCCAAGCAATATATTGTCACGGTCAGGACAGTGGTAATCTTCCACAGTGCTAACTTTGCAGTTAAAGGAGCATTTTTTTTTGGAACATTTCTGTTGGTCCATTCCTCATGACATTTTAACCCAATGTAAAGGGCAACTGTCATTGGTTCTGCTTTAAAAAAAAGCGGCAAAAATGAAAATATGAGGTTTTGTTCCTGACAGTAATTATATCTGATTAGTGCCTTAGAGTTAGAGTTTCCTGTAGTAATGATTACTTTATGTCTGTGCTGTTGCTGTTTGCCTCTCAGATCCTGAAGGCTTGATGCAGGCTTTGGAAGAGCTGGATTATCTTGCAGCGTTGGATGATGATGGAAACTTGTCTGAGATTGGGATCATAATGTCTGAGTTCCCACTGGACCCACAGATGGCCAAGGCCCTGCTAGCCTCCTGCGAGTTTGATTGTGTTAACGAAGTGTTAACTATTGCAGCAATGCTAGCAGGTACAAATACCACAACCCTTTAGGCTTTACGTAGTAGTTCTAGTACTCTATATTTGTGGAGTAGTTGAGTTATAATTAAATAAGCAACTAGTTGTTCTCCATTTCGCAGTGACCTTTTGCTTTAAAGATTAGGCTTAGTCTAAAGCAAAACTGGGTTCAAACTAGGTTCCTTCAGGGCAAAGACACTTGCAGAGTTTAGCGTTCTGCCTCATTAAACACACCTGATTCAATCCTGCTAAGTAATAAGGCATTCATGACCTGAATTCAGTGTTAAAAGAGGGAAAACACTAATCTCTGCAGAGCTGTGACCTGGAAGGAACGTAGTTTAACACCCCTGGTCTAAAGCCTCCATGGAGTGTATTTGTTGGTCTTGAACCAGGCAGAAATTGGCTGCCGTTTAAGTGTTTGTTACATTGAGTCACTTGCTGCGTCCTCACTGCCTGTCTATTACCCACAAGCTGTTTTGAATATATCAACACATGTGCTTCTCCTATCCTGTCCTGTCTGTCAGCTCCAAGCTGCTTTGTGGAGCCCCCTTTTGGCATGGAGACAGAAGCCATGCAATGCCACAAGAAGTTGTATCACCCAGAGGGAGACCATTTCACTCTGATCAACATCTACAATGCTTTTAAATGCAGTCAGAGAGAACCATGTAAGTAGATCAGGCAAAATCCCAATGTTACGTGCTTTTCAGATAAACCCCTGAGGCAGGCATAGCACCACAGGACTGAGTCACGTAAATCAGTGCTATGTAACTGATGGCTGTGTTATGGGTGTCAGATTTCACGCAGGAAAAGTGGTGTCAGGACTACTTTCTGTGCTCTGCGGCTCTGCAGACCGCAGATGCCATAAGAGCTGAACTGACTGACATACTGAAGAGGCTTGAACTCCCACTCTCTGAGCCTGCTTTTGGCACCAAGACCAACACCTTGAACATCAAGAGAGCACTGCTAGCTGGCTACTTCATGCAGGTAGAATAATCTTCACATTTCCAGATACTGTTTTACTAGATGCTTGTCATTAATAAAAGTATGTTTGAGTTGCCGGTGTGTAATAAATAAATTGTAATAGAATTGTAATTCTAGTATAATACTTAGCAAGCTACTCGTGCTTATGTCAGCATCAGGCTGTCACTGTCACTGACCGCAGTGTTCCACAGTTACCTTTCACAGTCCTATTTTTATGACACGCAAGCGATGTGTATTCGGTGAACTTGGTGCCCTTTATAGCAATTTGTTTTCAGCTCAAATTTCATGATCATGACATGCCTACTACATTCTACGTTTTACATAATATGAAATAAGTCAAATTAATTATATTTAAGTATTTGTTCTGTCTAATGTCATTTTTTCCACCAGGCAGTACGGTTATAAAACTGTATAAAATTGGACAGAATAGTTTAACATCCTCAAAAAAAAAAAAAGATGCATGATTTGCGGTTAACTAACCAAAACTTTATCGGTGTTCTCTATGCTAATGATAAGAATAAACATAGAAAATGATAGTACTGCTAATTTGTACTGCATTGCCATGTGCACAAAAGTGAATGTGCTTATTTTACAGGCATATTGGTATAAACGAATACTGCAACTATTTCTTGTTCCATTTAAAAACATATTATACTGTGCTTTTGTTTAACACTACTGACTCTGCCCCAAAAATAAATACAAAACACAGCTAGGATGTCTCATACACTACAATAATGTAGTGTTTAATATGTGTTTTTAGGAAAGTAATCACACTACACAATCACATCATTCGACCATTAAAAAAATGTTTATTTCTAGTAATCATAATTTTAATCCTAAAGTTTGGTCAGTAGGTGGAATAGTGCACACACTGCTCAACCTCAAATTCTGTCTAAGAGCATAGCCATTGGCACACGAGCTGCTGAATGCTGTTGTTTTATTGGCTCCCTAGTGGAACATCTGCATGAATTAGTGGCATGTAAATGATATGTAAATGAGTTACTCATTGGCCTGTGCTTGATTTCATGCACTGAAGCTGATTCACCATTCGTGCTCAAATCTCTGCTTATATCAAATGACAGTTCGTATGTCATTAAATGTGGTCAAAATTGTGCTCTTTTTATGCAACTTTGAGCAATAAAGGCCGCTGCCGGTGACTTTTACATAAAACCAAATGGCAAGTAAAAGGGAAACTAGAGATTGAAGCTCCTCCATTGTTGCTACTGGTTACAGCCTGGTGAAGAAATGCCATAAAATGCACTGCTGCCTCACCCAGAAACACATTACCTAAAAATGCTCACATACTAATAATAAATAATTAAAGTTGTCAGAGACCAGTTAGCACAGTCTTATTCTTTTATTAATGTAATTTCTGTACCCTGTATCTTGTTTGTGTTGGTCAGATTGCTCGGGATGTGGATGGCTCGGGAAATTATTTCATGTTGAGCAATAAGCACGTAGCGCAGATTCACCCTCTTTCTGGTTATGGCGCAAAAGCACAAAAGCTTGGTCTGCCCGAGTGGGTGCTGTTCCATGAGTACACGCTGTCCGACAACAACTGTGTCCGCACGGTCACACAAATCTCCCCTGAGGTGTAAGTCTGTACTTTTTGTTTTTCATGCATGAGATCTGGTGTAAACTAGTGTTAGCAGAAACGGCACATTCGACACAGAGAAAAGAGCAGGTACTGCACACGTAAGAGGAATATATCATGGTGTATTTACAGCACTATAAAATGGTTATTTCACGCAAGTAGTCCACAACCACATTACGTCTTGTGTTTATTGCCATGCACATGTTAAAAAATTGGCTATTCACTCCATATTATTAAAGTTAATGGGGAATCATTCAAGGAAAATGATTCAGAAAATCAGGAAAGTCAATTAAATTTTATCATAAGCCACTATTAAACACACTGTAAATGGTCAATTATAAAACTTAACTTTAATTGGCAGCCTAACATATTTTACCTAAATTGTGCGACTCCTTCATTTTCGTCCCTTGCTTCATTTTTCAGCCATACGCTCTCCAGTGTACCTCCCCTAAACTTGTGCATATCATGTCAGTGTTGTGTAGGATAAGTCATCAAGGATGAACGTCACCTAAAGGAGCTTTACAGATTACACTCACCATAATGATGAAAGGATTAAGACTTTAGCAACCATAGTTTCTGTCCTACTACACTGACATAAGTAACCCCAGCAGCCATCATTGTGAATTTATCTGACACACTATAACATATACAAACATTTCATTTTTCTCTTTGTTTCAGGTTCATTCAAATGGCACCACAGTATTTTTTCTACAACCTGCCCTCTAGTGAGAGTAAGGAGCTACTGCAGCACATTATGGACAATGAAGGGTCTGGGAGCACCAAGAGAAGACAGAAGAATCAGCCTGTCGTCACAGAGACACCAAAAGAATCGGAAGAGTCCCAGTCTTACGACAGATGTGTGATACAGTGATTATGAAAAGGCAGGTCTGCTGTGAACTCTAAAGCTTGTCCATGTGACCTGCCAAACCAGACTGCTCCAGACAAAATATGTTGGCCCACATGCTGCACATGAGCATGTCAGTCGTCAGTCATGGGAGTGTAAATGTCACATTAGAGACGTTAACGTCTACATCTTAAGGGTTTTCAGGGATTATATGCACACTTCTTTCAAAAATGCTGATGCAGTTTTAACATATGAGCACACAGAAAAGGGGGGCTGATCCTAGACCAGCACTTAGAGATACAGCACATGTTGGGCTTATTAGCACCCTCAAACTTGAAGCATACTGTTGTAAATATGGACTGTCAAACATTTTGTACCGCTGCCCATAAAGAGAGTAATGACAAATCCTCTTTGGGAAATGTAGTTTATTTTGTGGCTTATGGTTATATACAAAAGGAGTTTTCAGCCAAATAAATTTTCACTTGTGTAATATGTACACTATAGACCTCTTAAATTACTGCGATTACAGTAACCCTTTTTTATTATTCAAACTATAATTTGGATTCTGGTTTAAATTTAAATCCTGAAATTTAACTATTATAACTTCAAAAATTGCACCACCTGCAAAAAACAAATGGAAAACACAAAATTTGGTTATTGGAGGCTTTAGTAATGCTTGAGGTCATTACTGACAGTTGGTTTCTCAACACATAATACAACAATTCTATGCACCAACCAAAAGCAGTTTCCACAAAAGTTCCTCAGGTTCTTCAAGATGAACAAAGAGCGGAAAGGCTTGGATACATGTAAGGCTGCTGTTGAGATAGCAGCATGTGATCTGTTCAGATGGTGAGGTACTCCTTTAACTTGTCCATAATCACTGGCATTCTGTCCATGGGTATTAGAGACACGGTGCGGAAGGGTTTCATAGGTACATCATCGAACGACCATCGTCCTGCGAGACATGAATCGGCCTCCTCCTGGACAGAGTAGTTAAACTTCGCCACGGCTTGCTGCATAAAGAACAAAGGCATGAAGATTAGTGGTCACATGATCATTCTGTTGAACACGATTGCATACTTCTGTGCACTGAACATACCTCATAAAAGAACTCCTCCTCTGCATTGACAAACATGAGCTCCTCTTTTGGAGGCCCTCTAGCAGGGATGGTCTTCTTGGCCTCCTGGCATGTTTTACTGATCAGCAGACAGTACTGACATTTCCCACCTGGCTTATTGGTCTTTTGTGCCTCAGCCATCTCATCTCTGTGCAAACAGGCAACATATTAATGCCCCTTTACATAGTACAGACAAAACAGCTAACTACAGAATTGGTTTAGTGTGCTCACTTTGGGTCAAATTTAAGGTAGAGGTGGATTTAAATTCAGCTAGTTTCCTATACAAGGATTAACAGTACTCTTGAATTTGGTGATTCACCATTGAAAATCATTTTTAGTCCAGGCCTAATCTGAGTCTCGGAAACTAGCCTTTTGTTTAAAGTCAATGGGAATCAGACATCAAAACATTCTTCTTCCAGACCTTGATGCATTTCAAAGTATAATGCTGTACAAGGGCCTCAATGCTGAGACCCTCTATGGTATACAAATGTAAATGTGTAGATGCTGTATAAGTTTCAGAGTGTTTTGCTCGATGATGGGGGGAGGGAGAGGTGAAATGATATTGGTTAATATAGTTTTTCCGCACCTGCTGGGTTTTAGAGAAAAAGTCACTTCAATTCAAGATTACAGGAAGACAAATGTTTTTTTTTTTAAATGGTATAGTGTGATGAATTTGCTTAATTCGACCAGAGTCGTGACTAACAAGGTAAAAACATTTCAGATCGACTAAGATTGCTTAAAGGTAAATTCCACAGTTTTTTCAAAATTTCTGCATAAATAAATCATTAAAATGTAAACATCATTCAGAGGAGCTTGATATGAAAAATGGTTCACTGCAGAGAAACAAAGTCAGGACTGGTGACAGGAACCAGATGTCTTTAAAGCTCCTTCAGAGAAATTTACCACTACATGAAATATCTGAAAACATATTTTATCAAAACCATTAATGGTGAAGAGGTACATGCAGTGCATTGTAAGGCACAACAGTCCCCAAAGAAACCCTGTTTTTTTCTGATTTACCTCATTTTACCATCACCTTCACATACAAAAACTCAGAAGACATTTTTGTTCAGTGGTGGTTTTGGATAGTAAATGAAATGGCTATATTTGTGCTGTAGACATTGTGATCCCTGATTTCACATCACCACCACTGCTAGGAAATCTAAATTGGCAAGTTTCTTTAGAACAGAGCATTCGCATGAAACCAATCTGAAAGACTACTTACATCTTAACAATTTAATTACGCAGATTTTGGGAAAAATCAGTGGAATTCCAAATTAAAATCAACAGGTTAGGTCGGTGAAGATTATACAACATTTAGTTCGGCCAGGCAAGCTGACTGAGAAGCGTTCTAACCGTGCTGTTATTTTGCCATAACAGCATGTTTTTTTTTTTCAGAAACAACTTTGACAGCTGTAGGAGATGCTCAAGCCATTTGAACGTTTTTACTTATTACTTTGCCACAAACAGAAAATGGATACTTTTAAGATCACATTTGATCGACAGCCAATTTGGTCAGACTCTGAAGATGAGGTGACACTAAATTCCCAAACTCATCCCCACTGAGCAGCTTTTCAGTCGGCAGCTGTGATAGAAGAACACCTAAACAACCTGGAATTAGCCAGACATGAACCGAATACCATTCGCCAAACAAAATGGGCTGTAAAACGAGTTTAATGTATTTGTCTGTGTAAGCAGCTGGAGAACGAACTGCTGGCTGTGCAGCAAGTGAGTGGAGTTCGTTATTCTGACGTAGCAACAAGCTGCTTGTTAAGGAACTATAATTTGACAATCTTAACGTTAGGATGCTTTAAAGTCATGGATAAACAGTCAATCTCAAGTCTCAGTGTGGCTTCAGTTTTGTTGAGTGAAGCTGCTGTTATTTGTCAGGACTCTGTGCTGGGAAATCAGCAGACCTGTCTGGTGTGAAGTGACCCAAATCCTCCACATTGTTATGCAAGTCTTACTGAGCCACGTGATAGAATTAGAGTTGCATGCTGACACGCTTAATACCAGCACAACAACAACAACAACCCAATTCATTGCCCAGGGTTATTCTGTCTTTTTCCAGAATCAAAGCAAAACATCTTCCAAAAATGCCAAGATTTTAAAAATAAGTAAAAGCTAATAAGGATCAATAAACAATTATCATTTGTAAATCAATAACTGAGGTCTTAGTGAGGCTCATGTAACTTTAACAGAAGGAATCATTACAAAGACAGGTTCACAAAGTCCATATTGGCATGTGGAATAGCAAAACCTCCAGACTGATCCTGATATTAATACTGTTATTGCAGTTCTGGGTTCCAAGTTTTTTTTAAGCCTGGATAAACAGAAGCCCCCTTGTGGTATGCAAAGGAACCGTTTCTTTTAAGAGCGTAAATCTCTGTCCTCACAAGTATTCAGTTCTTTAGAAACAAGTCAATGCAATATAAAATTTCAAACATGAATCCATTTTTATAGCCAATTACTGATCATTCCTGTTGAATCACCACCCTTTAATCAATGCATAACGGTACTATTTTACACTCTCAGTGTTCAAGCATCCATGGCCGAGAATACTCACAGAAGTTGTCTGTAGAGTGGCAGGGCGATCTGCGGGGGAACGTTGATAAAACGTTCACTGAGCAGCAGTCCGACAGCCTGAGACGTGTCGTGCAGAACTTTCTCAAACTGCTCCAGCCCGGCTGCCGAGCACAGCTTTTCACACTGTCCCAAAACCAGCTCCTTAATCTGCTCCACACACTCCATTCCCTGTTCAATATATACATTTATCATTATTAAGAAGAAAAAAATCTAACGATCACAAAACATGAGTAGAACCCAGCAGAGGCTAATAATGCAGCATAAGAGACAACGGGACATAATGTGGCTCATATTTTTGGTGACCTTCTCATGTTGCAATAATTTCATAAAGTTAGTTTTAACAGTTATTAGACATACTTCTCAAGACTCCCTCTGAAGTCTGTTTAAAAAAAAAGCTTTTCTGGTTCAAACATCAAACATGGTATTGTACTGAATTAGATTACTGTATTATGGAATTAAACAGCAATTTGAAATCGTGATTTAAAACATGCATCACTGGTTTGAACATTGCTTTGCCGTACGTTTCAAAGTGGGCACATCAGGTGAAATCAGCGAACAAGACTGTCATACTGTTCTGAACATGCCTTTTTCTTTCCCCCCACAAGTTGTTGGGGGTAGTATTCATGATTGGGTTCCCTCATTTCATACAGAAAATAAAAACTATATGAATTATCACTAATACTTTATGAATAAACACTTTCTTCATAAATGATAACGAACCTAATTAAAGTAGAACTGTAATAAAATTACTTTCACCTGAAAGCCTACATATTTCTAAACAAATTCAGTTTTCTTTATTTTGGCATATTACAGATGACCCTTACATGAAAATATATTTAAGTAACTTCCACAAGAGTGGGTTCTAGGTGTTTTCAGTTTTGGATTTTCACAATGCATAGAATTTTGCCAGCAGATCACTACTGTGCAATGTTTCAAGTGTTTCAAACTGTTTTTCCAAAGGTATTTGTCTGACAGCTTCATTACTCTAATCACTACAGAATTGGTTCAGTTGTGCCCCCCTCCCTTCTACACAGTATAAAACATACTTTAAACAAAGGTTTGTGGTGATACATATAATGCCATAGGTAATGTGACATCTTTTTATAGTACACTGTGCTGTTATTGTACCTTCTTCTCGGTCAGATTTACGATGCTGATGAACCCATACACTTCATCTGGATCCTCATCATCACTGTCATCCGGCACTTCTGATTGCTGAAACCAGACACACAGCAAGTCACAGATTAAACCACTTGATTGCTTCACATGACATCACAGAGAAAACTGCCTTATTGTCCCACCTGCTGTGTATATTTGGCATGTTTCAGTTACTGTGTCATATTTATTACTGTTTTTATTTACTTTATCATCAACTTTTACTTTTTAGTTGCAGAGTTACCGCTTTACATTTTCTATTCTTTTATTATCATTAATTATGCTTATTTATTTTTACCCCTGTTTGCTCAACTCAAGTCAAAGTTTATTTATGCAGCCCTTTTTACAACAGCCGTTGTCACAAAGCAGTTTACAGAAAAGTCCGGGTCCAAGCCCCCATGAGCGTCGCCAATGGCTACAGTGGCAAGGAAAAACTCACAAAGAGCAAGAGGAAGAAACCTTGAGAGGGACCAAGACTCAAAAGGGGAACCCATCCTCCTCTGGTTGAAACTGGACAGCAAAACAATATTTTAAAAGAGCAATATGGGCAGAGAATAAGGTTTTAACATTAGTATAAAAAAATAAAATACACTATTACACACAAATTACTATTAATTTTACATTTCTTTACATTATTATTATTCTTTTTATTCCTATTTTATTGTTATTACTACTACTTTGTAAAGCATTTGATATGTTTTTTTACAATCCCTGATTTCTGTATTGGCTCGACTGCATTATAAATGAGGGTCACCCTCTGTACTCACTGATTGATATGATTGATGCATTTTCCTCTTGAGGATTAACATTTTGTGTATTCTAAATGATAGAAATATTTTACAATCGGTACTTTTACTGTTAACTGACAAGCTCAAAAAATAAATGTTTAACAGCTAAAGTCATTAGGCAGTGATTTTTCTTTTCAGAAGGTTCAGGTTGATCAAGAGTTTTATGCAGCGTTCTTTACTCCACTCTCACTGAGCTCTGCAGTTGTAGGTCCTTTGAAACAAACGTTGGCCTATTTGTGGTTTCCTTCCTATTATTTTGCACACTTTTACTAATTTCTAGATTTGTATGGTTATCTTCTGTGGTATGTTTTTTAGTCTCTATTCTCACACACTGTCCAGTCACTGAAACTGAAGAACAAGATCCTCAAACTGAGTTTTGTGCTTGTTAGAGATTTTTTTCATTTGTTTATGTTTGGAGCTTCCAGAATAGTTGCACAAGCTGCATATATGATTTCACAATAAAAATACTCATTATGAAATATATACATATAAATTTGTAATCTAAAAATTGTTAAGAACTTTCAAGGGAATTGAACATGCTTGTATACACAAGGCAACTGTATACATGGAATCTGCAATTTAGGCAGAACTGTAATCTAAACATTTTTCCTTAAAACACTTTCCAGTTTTCAGTACTTTCACATGCTTATAAAATAATGCTTACTTTCCATATAGAAACTTGGCACAGAACTGCATCTACTTTCGGGTTCAAGTTGATCTTGCACAACCACAAGCATAAATGACATCCCACACTGAGGTTGTTATGTTTTGTAAATTATAATTTTATAACAAATGAATTATTTACCTATTAGTTTGAAACAGTATTCTCACTGTACCAGTATGTATCTTCCTGTACATGACATGAACCATTATCCACAATATTTAAACAAATGTAGAGCACAAACAATGACTGCCACTGGCTTGCTCAGGGGGGCTTGGACCCAGATTTTTCTAAAGCTGCTTTGTGACAACGCCTGCTGTAAAAAGTGCTATATAAATAAACTTTGACTTGATTCGTCAAGATAAAGTCCTACAAGAGTCCTATTAAGTTACATGCGCTCTGTTCTTAATCAGGTCTGTAGAAAGTAGAAATAACAGCTTGATGCACTATTGTTAATTACTCAGAAATTCTGCTATCCTTTTCTCTGGTCATTTATTAAAGTCAGCGTGAATGGGTAATCGCAACACAAAAACATGTATTTCACAAAAACACAAAATGTTGGACTAATTTACTTTAAAAGTTGACTTGTTACACCAAACCCTGTAACACAGATCTCTTCCAAAAGGTTTTCTCACCCTGATCACGCTGCCTATGTGATTCTGTTGAATGATGAGATCAGTCAGCTCAGAGGTGTTTACATGCGCCTTCAGAAAAAGCTGTTGGGGGAAGAGACATATGTTTACATCATAAATATCATTACGGGCCACTGTATTAGAGAAGGCCAGGTAAACAGCTTTATGTATCTACTTCCTGAGCCATCTTTGACTAAACAATTTATAACTATGCCACATACCTGTTGGAGCAGCTTCTTAATTCCATTAAAGTCGTTGTCGGATATCGTGTGTGCTTCGAAATCCACGACGACCTCCTAGAAAATGGCACACATAACGTTACACATCAGCAAGAAAGAAATGTTATAATTACGACAACTAACACAGCCTAGGTATCACTACCTGCTCAGCGGTGGCAGCCAGCAGACCAGGTAGCTAACCTAGCTAGCTTGTCAACATCAGACACAAGACTGAAGGCAGCTTCTTGTTCGAATTTCCCCGGTCTACCTTAAATGCTGCCGCACATACATACTGCAGGAGAACGTAACTGCTGCACCATTTAAGGTGGACCGGGGAAATTCGAATAAAAAGCTGGCGAATAGGAAACCAGCTTCACCTTCGTACGTGAGGCCGAGGTACACATGACCCGAAACACGTTGAGTAACTTGACTTACCTCGTTTATTTCTTCTTCTGAGTTCTCGCTCTCCTCTTCTCCGGACTCCTCTAACCCCTCATCCGAGCTGTCATCACTCTGTTCAGGGTTTTCTCCGACTCCAACCGCTCGCCGTTTCGCAGACGAGGCCATGCTGCCGCTCTCAGAGACACAGCGCGCTGGTGAGAGGGGAAGTGACGCACAGGCCGGGTTATATGGGAGACTTTAATGTGCAGGAAACTGAACGCTGTTTCCGCCATTACGGCTCCAACTGTACCAAAGCGTCGAAGGAGCTGCACCACATCAGTAGAGCCCACATGGTTCCCTTTGCTTTAGCTGAAATAAGATTGTTTTTTTTTTTCTTATTATTTTGCAAACAAAATACAAACAATAATGGCAGTAACAGTTACTGTGTTCACATATTTACATAACACAAACCGAGCTCAGTCAGCAAATTTAAACACAAAAATAATATTAATAAGCAAAATGAATGAATGAATGAATGGAGGGGGTAAAGGTGAGACAAAAACATCTTTCTAGGGTTTGTCTATCAAACAAGACACATAAGTTAATGTGCAGTTTTTCCTTTTCATGTACTCTGAACTTCTGAAGAAATACATGAGCTCCTTGTGGAATATGCAGACAGATGATATTGTTTTCATATACCTACTTCATGTATAAAAGATTTGTCAACAGCAAAATAACATTAATAAGCATTTCAGAATCAGAAAGGTGTTCAATTTATAATTCGACTCTGTAAAATCACTTAGACTAAAAACCTTTAATATGACCAATAATGTAAATCACCCCAAAAGGTTGTAGAGTATTTACAGGAAACAAATAAATATTTTGTTTCAAAACTGTCTATACTGAAAGTGCAAACAATTCATCCAAATTAAATCTTTGTCCCAAACTTTTGTAGTTGAATACGGTCCATTTATTATCTTGAAGAACAGAGGCCATTCTTGGGGGGATGACACAGCCCAAAGAATGAATGAATATAAAATAGACGTATGTGCCTATGATTTACCCCATCAGAGTAGATCCGGGTACTGTCAAGAACAGATTTTGTTTAGAGTTTATAAGCTGCCTTAGAAACCAGCCTTCATGAATACGGCAAAAAGTAAACTGTGCCTGTCCTGCCACAGATATAAATCTCGAATATTGTACTTTTATAATGCTCAATACTCTAACAAACTGATAATATAAACATTTCATAAACATACAGTATTAAGGCATACTATATTAAACAAGATACATTTTTACTGTTAAGAGTGTTATTTATTTATTTATTTATTTATTTATTTTGTGTATTGAAATTGGGAACCACCAAACCAAGCTGTGTTTTTTGTGAATCTTTAGAGGAGCTGGGTGTGCTGAGAGGGTTGCAGCTTTCCCAGAGTTCAGATTTGTTTTCTAAATAAAAGAACTGAACTTTAAAACAATTTTATCACAGCATAGACCTATGTGTGCTTGTTTAAGATGGAGTTTGTATTTTTATTCAATGTTATATTCACATATTTTCTGCAGAAGCCATGCACTAATTAAAGTACTGCTGTACAATTTGATCTTATATAACTGAATTGTATCATAATATCATAATATAGCATTGATAAAAAAAAAATCATAGAAAACATTAAGGGTTTCTGTTGGTTCCTGGTGGTGTCACTAATGGTCACTATGTATTTTGTGTTTTCCTGATGGGTTAAAATTACAGTGTAAAGTATTCTAATGGTTTAACAGGTGTTCTGCAAGTGATTCCAGATGCATTTGATGGTTTCCTAATGGGATCTAAAGGTGTTCTACCGCAGTGTTTCTCGACCCTGGTGCTGGATGCCCATTGGCTTGCTCTTTTTAGTGTTTTCCCTGCTTCCAACACACCTGATCTACCTAATCAGCTCATTAACAGCCCGTTATTGAGTTGAAATGGCAGTAAAAGCACTACAATGTGCTTTATGGCCACGCCCACAAATAATACATAGAAGAAGAATCTGAAAAAGACCGTGAAAGACTGTGAACTCTTACATTATAGAAGTGTGTCAGCTAGTTTTCTTTATCAGTCCTCAAATCACCGTATCACAGTCCGTTTACAATCCCAGAATCATTGTTTTTTTAAAAGATGAATGAGAAAGTTCGGGAAATATCCGTCCAGTTCAACATGTTGACATTACGTCACGAAGGGGCGTTCCGTTCCATATGCTGGACCGTACCGGCCCGCAGCAGGTGCAGTCATCTCATCCCATCTCATCTCATCTCAAACAGTCATCGTTCTCAGTGCGAGTGAAACGTTTCCAAGCGTCAGAACCACTACAGTCTAACAGCAAGCCGGAGTGGACCCCGGTCAGCGTGTGAATGCGAAGGAAAGCGGCGGAGAAACACAATGGCCCTCAACCAGAACCACTCCGAGTCCGGCGGAGTCATCATCAACAACAGCGAGAGGTAGCGTTAGCTAACTGTAAATGGAGACCGAAGAGAAAGTCGGCTTTCTTATTCATTAGTTTCTTGCTCGAATTTTCCCGTTCTACCTTAAATGGAGCAGCGGTTACTTTCTGGCGCTTGAGGCCTGAATGTAACTGCTGCATCATTTAAGGTGGCACGGGAAAATGCGAACAAGAAACTGGAGAATAGGAAGCCAACTTCAGCCTTGGTGGTGAAGAGCTAACGGGGCAACAAAAACAAAAACACAACAAGTACTTAAAACAGCGGTTAGCTTAAGATCTTCAGTGAGGGTTCGCCATCTGTCTGCAGATACAAAACGTTGGAGAATAATGGTGTTGATGTTTATTTTGTTAAGACAACACAGAAAGCTTAAATCACGAGTTTTCGTTGTTAACACTACACCGCAACGTCAACGTTACATCCATCCAGCTAATCTAGCTAGCTAACCCAGCTAGCCTATGGAGCCTACGGAGCAGATATTTTCATTCGTTTGTCTTTCGAGGTTCTGCAGTTTTGGACATTTAAGTTAACGCTAGCTCCTTTTATTAACGTTAACTGCGGCATTTTTCGAGCTGGTAGACTAATGTACTTGTTATATATAGCTATATAACGTTCGCTGCACCTGTCCAGATGTATGTAAGGTTAGCTGCCCTTGTATTAACCATGTAGCTAGCAAATTAGCTAGCTTAACGTTATTTAACGTTTGCTACATTAATTTGGTAATGTTTAACGTTAAACTTCTGACAAAATACATTCAATTCTTGGCAAAAGATTACCTGATTGATTGTAGTAGCAGGCTAAATACTTAACTAGGTGGCCCAGCTGTTAGTCTAGGGCGCCGAAATCTATATAGCCAGAAGGAGTAGAAATCATGGCAGTTCTAGTAAAATATATTTTATTGTATTTTTGAGTAAATGCAACTTACACACTTGTAAAACCTGGTTCTTCAAGGGTTCTTTAGTAAAGGGAATGGTTCTATATAGAACTATGATTTCTGTATAGAACCATTTCAAGCTTAAATGGTTCTCTGCATGTTTCTTTGTCATGTTTGTAAAAATAGAAGAACCCTTTTTGGTGCTAAATAGAACCATTTTCAAAAAGGTTCTATATTGAACCACATACAACACATTTTCCATCAGTCTGAGGACCCATTTCACTATGCAAAGATCCATTTAAGCTTGAAATGGTTCTGTATAGGACTCATGGTTCTAAAAAGAACCATTCTCCTTACTAAAGAACCCTTGAAGAACCATCTTTTTTGAGAGAGTAGCCTATCGTGAGGGCTGAGAGTCTAAGTGAACACACCCAGTCCAGTGTCGTTAGGTCACTGAGACAATAAGCCTCTTAACCCTTTTCTAGAAGTGATAGGGCTGTTTTAAGCACTGTGGAAATTTACGCAATTCTCTGTGACTTAATTGGCTAACATTTTATTTGATTAGTAGGTTGTATCTTCTTGGAAACACTCCAGAACTTATCTTATCTTATTAAGAGTTAATATTATAACTCTGTCACAAATATGTATGACATAACAGCCCTGCCAGAATAACACTTGCCCAGAATAACACTTTTGTTCCTATTCGTGATCAAAGTAAGTCTTGAAGTTTTGATATGTGCTCCAGTGATGTGAATCTGAATAGACTGCGCTTCTTCCTAGTGTTTTGATGTCTTATGAGAATGTGGAGCTGGCGTTCAGTGATGCAGACCGCTTACCAGACCTGTTTAAGAAAAGCAAGAAGGGGAGCATCTTTCTCACACCGTACAGGGTGAGTATGAGGACAGAAAGGAGATCTTCTGGAGCTCAGTGTTTGGACCAGTGTGAAATCAAAGGAGTTATAAGAAAATTACGAAAAACACAGATGAGTAATATCCGTGTTACTTGTTGCTACGATTTTGGCTTGTCTAATTTGGCAGCCCTCCCAGTCAACTACTTATATTTATTAGGTCTTCTTTGATTTTGCATTATTTTCTTCGTGAAGGCCTGAATTGTGGGTCTAGATCAGCAGAACACTATCAGAGCATATGTTGACTGAAATAGTTTAAGTGGTGAATCAGTGGTGAAATAATGCACAAAAAAGTCTCATTTCAAGAAGATCAGTCAGTCAGTCATACATCATCATTACCTCCTACATGGTCCAGAGTTTGGTAAGCTCTAAGAATTAGGTAGAATGACGTATCATTGGGGCAGATTTGAACATATTAATGGTATTTATTAATTCATTTATTTATTTCTATAATATTCAATGCTAGTATGTATTTCTCACTAAGTGTTTCAGAGCCTAGGAGTTGTGTGTTGTTTTCTGTCAGGTGATCTTTGTGACGAAGGGGAAAGATGCTCTGCAGTCCTTCATGATGCCGTTCTACCTGATGAAGGGCTGTGAGGTTAAACAGCCTGTGCTTGGAGCCAACTACATCAAGGGCACAGTGAATGCTGAACCAGGGGGTGAGAACCCCAATTCCAATTTCTAACTGTAATGTAGATTTTTTGTGCACATTACACAGAGTTGAGTTTCCCAAAAAGATTCATCTTCATGATGAACAAACAAACTAGTAAAAGATGTAAGAAAGGTGTAAAAGAATGTATATTTTCTGCTCTAAAAACCCTCTGTAACTGCTCAGCTATTTATTAGCCCTATAATCTTAGCTTCAGGTATATTGGAGTAGCGCAAACCTTAAGTGAACTAAGAACACAGTAAATCATGAGCTCTGAGCAACAGTTGTAAACTGCATCAGTCAGCAGATGTATCCCTGTTGGACTGTAAAACTACACCTAGACATTTCAGTAAATAAAAAATCGGGGGTGTGTCTTAATCAGTACATTACATAGTTTGTCAGGCTACCAAAGCCTTAAAATCTTATTGCTGTGTTCTTGTTTTCTAGGTGGTTGGGAGGGGTCTGCCACCTTCAAGCTGATCTTTATCGCTGGAGGAGCCATTGAGTTTGGCCAGTACATGCTACAGGTGGCAGCTCAGGGTAAATGTCCCTTTCCCACATTTCCATATGCCTGTTGCTCCTCTATTGGCTGTACCACAGGTGTAGTGTTCTGTTTACTAGCAGAGACCAGAGTAAGCAAATATATTGTATGTAGTTATTCAGGTGACTCTTGCTGTACTAAATCTCAACATGTTCTGTGGGATCTGATTAGCTAAATGATGGAATTATTTATTTACTTTCGTCCATATTAGGCCACCTCTGATCTCCAGTGTCAGCTTACTTGTGTGCCTTATGTAATTGTGGTGCTGTTCTGTCTTTACTTGTGGGTTATTTTAGTTTCTGAATGGCCTTTAATTTTATTTCTTCCATTTTCTTCTCTTTAAATGGCCATCGTCTACTAGCACGTTCAGGCGTTCATTCCTTGCTTCTATAACTTAGCCAGTTTGCACTGTTTTCCATGTAATTACTGAATAATAAGGCTGGAGATGTACTGAGTGCAGGATTTTAAGGGGGTAATTAGTCATATATATTTTGTAGAGAATGTTTTTTCATGTGCTTGAAACAAACTGTTGCTCTTTCTAGCCTCTAGAGGGCAGCCTGTGATTGGCAACATTGGATGTGCATACATGGCCAACGGAGCATATGCGTGCCCACCTCCCCCTCCAGCTAATGGAATTTACTCCACTGGACCTCCGCCTCCTGGCTACTCCTACCCTGGGCCCCCACCTCCAGGTAAAGCATTACTTGTGTAACAGGTTTGCATTCTGTTTGTTTTGCAGGCACTCATTGAGTTTCATTGTTTGTTTGTGCATACTGACCCCAAAGACAAACATGAAGGCTAAAAACAAGGAAGCACATTAATGGCTATTATGTGTGTTAAAAACAGAAAGATGCACTAATTCTTTCAATACCTATTTATCTGAAAAAGGACACCTAGGTGCATTAAAAATGCTTTAATTGCAGAATTGTAAAGTATATAACTTATGCCCCACAAATAAATGCTCATTAATGAAAGGTAACTCTCTGTACTTTTGCTCCACAAGCATCTTTTCAATCTTCAGTCCAGAGAGTATGAGTATTTCCCCCAATACTTACGATGGGCTCTGTATATTATAATATTGGTGCACATATATAAATATATAATGTATGCTGTCCATTGCACACTGGCTACTCCAGTTAAGTACCTGACAGATCACCTGATATGAAACAACACATGCCCTTTGGTAGGCATGTCAAATCCTTCCAGGCCACAGCTCTGCAGAGATTAATGTTTTTCCTTTGTCTAATGCTCAGAATTCAATCCATGTCCTTGCAAATTAGTTGAATCAGATGTGCTTAATTAGGCAGAATGTTGGAATCTGCAGTTCTGTGACCCACTAGGACTGGAGTCTGATACTAGGCCTGTACCCTTAGGTATAGGAGTCTTTCATGAGATGCAGTACAAGGTCTGAATTATGACATTCTGTCCTGCCATGTTATTACAAGCTGTAACATAGTTGACGAGATTATAATGTAGTTGAAGAGACTATAGCTTCCTATAACTATAGGAAGCTATATATTGTAATGTTGTATTTTTTTTTTATTTATTCACAACCACAAGTTTTACTGTATGTAATTTTGCTTGTCCTTAGGTGCATTCTACCCCAACCCTCCTGGTTTTGATGGTCCAGCAGCTTACATGCCTCCTCCCCCATACTCTGCATCAGTGGCCCAGTCTTCTCTAGACCCAGACCTACCCCGGACACCTGCAGGTCAGGACCACAGTCAGAGATCATTTTTAGACATCTAACAGCAAGAGAGCTAATCGGCTTTGAATTGCTGTATGGAAGTTGTCTTAGATCTTAGAACACTTGAGGAATGAATGTAGACTAAAGGCATCAGCAGCATCATCACTGTACATCAGTATATTCATTGTTTATCAGTTATATCTTGCTTAAACAGCCCATATAATGGAAAACTCTGTTAACAAAAGAGACTGTGTAAACACTGTCAAAGTTTAAAAATGTACAGTTCACTCCCCAGTCTATGCAATCAATATATGGAAACTAATCTGCAAAAACAGACAATTTTGAATTCACTGTTTTTGTAATGTCACAAAAACCAACACATTTGCATATATCCAACCATTCACATTGAATTTATAAGGAGTGTTTTTTAACCTGGACAGTTTTTCGAATGAGGCACAATACAGGTCAGCCAGTCAGAATAGAAGTCATTTACATAGTACAAACATGGCACAAACTTCTCACATAGAATCACTAACTGAACAGTGAGTTACAGAAGGAGTCACTTTCTGCTTTGCCTGTCCTCAGATCTTGACCTCAATGGAAAACATTAGTGCAGACTGATTACTAGAGAAATTTTGGTTTGATTTTGGTTTTAATTATAGAGCAGTGGTGGTTTTCTGAGCTGTAATGCTGATGTTGAATGATGCTGTAGTAGGCGCATTTTTCATAGGGTAGAATCTATCTCTTTTTCTGTCTCTCTTTCAGCGGAGGCAAAAGCAGCAGAGGCAGCAGCCAGTGCAAGCTCTTCCTCTCTCGCATCGACTCATGTTTATCTGCCAGAAGTGAGTCTACTGTCTACTAGCTAACCTTTTCACCAAAACTAACTCATCTTCCCTTTGCTATACATTCATTTACCACCACCTTGCACTGCACTAAATGTCCATCACACTTCCCACCCAAACCAGCCATTTACAGCATCTTTTCTGTCACATCTATGCACTTATATCTGTATTCAAGAGAACTTTGCGGTCACAAGAAAACTTTGTATCTCTGAAATGTTAACTTTACTGTAAAAGGGAAAGACTTAGTATTCATAAATGTACATTAAACTTGCTTTTCAAAATATCTGGTGCCTCATTTGTTACATTTTCTTATGACAGCAGTGATGGACAAAAATCTCATGGTAACACTTTACAAAAGGGCAGTGTTCCTAAGGCTACATGATATCTATATAAGCCTTTCAAGACAACTGACATGTATAAACATTCATAAAGGTTTATTCCAACAAATGTCAGTTGTCATTACACTGCATGAAATTGAGTGAAGCAGGCTTTGACAACTGAAGCCTGCTGGAAAAAGCCTTTATTGTGAATGATGCCTTTTAGTAATGTGTCACCAATCTCACAATAGCACATTGTCTTTTAAACATTGCTTTATGCAGAGTTCAGATTGTCTGAGTACAGTTAATAATTGATCTGTCTGTCTTGTCCCCCATCTTGTAGGACAAGCCTCCACCTTACTCGCCACCTGAAGACAAGAAGAACCAATAAATTTCTGACCAGCAGTTCCACAGCTAGCCCTCAGTCTTCTCTCTCACACACATGATCTTAATAGCAGCATTTCATTTCATTAGCTCAACTAACAGTGTCCTCTTGTAATGCTACTTGCAGTAGCTCGAGGCTTCCCAAGGTGGTAGAAAATGGGATTCCCAGTATCTCTACTGTGGGGAGTGAGAGGAAAGCGGAAAGTTTCTGATTTCACTGTGTGTAAATGAGAGGTACTTAAAACTTTAGGACTGTTAGCTCATCAGCAGTGACCAGTCATAACAGTAAAATACAGGATTCCTTAATTTTATTTCCTGTCATTCTAAGGAGGTGGCTGTTTATGTAAACCGCTGTGTGAACTTTTCAGATAGATGAACTAGTTTGAGCCAGTGTAGCTGACTGTCTTTCATAAGAAATGGGACCATAATTATCAGGAAATATGGGAACAGCAAGTCTGGATAGACAGTATGATGAGAAATTCAAAATGTTACTGTGTATTCATTCAGGGGTTTGCTTCGAGACCCATTTCACCTCGTGCTGTTTCTAAAATGTGAGCGCACCTTGGCCAAAGCACTACATACTGTGTGTAGCACCTGTGAATCCGCTGTACTGTCACTTTTGGTCCTATTACGCTTTGTCAGTTGTCATTCTCTTCTGAAGCATCTCTTTAGCTCTGGAGCATGACGCAAACTAATATGGCACTTTAACTTTGTCATGCATCAGTACAATCCCCCCTCCCCCCAGCCCCCCCTTGTGTGCAAATACGATTTCTTGTTGGATGTTTTAATTTATTACTTAATTTATTTGAATGATGAACTGTGTAACCAACTAAGCATGGTCTCAGCTATAACGTCTAACGTACAGTGGATTGTATTTTATTAAATTTAACTTATCAGTTGAAAGGTCTGTTTTATTATAGAGTTTTATTCTGTACAATAGTTGAACAGGTTTTGAAATATGACGTTGCACTCTTTGGGTTAACATGATTGACATGGTGATGAGTGCAATACACGTTCTATTAGTCTAAAGGACATTTCCACCTTTTACGTCCTTCTCTCCCAATGATTATGATGACTAAATGTCTTGTTTTGGAAAAGTAGTCAGTATGATTTTCACTCTCTGACTCTTCAAGATCAGAGTTCAGGAACATGGCTCAGAGCTATAAAGTGGTGTGATTTAATCACTCACTGTGCTTCTCTTAATTGTTCCCTTTCTAAATGCAGCAGATGCTGCTTGTGCAAATGCATTTGATCCCAGAGTTTCCACTTCCATCCGATTTTCAGAAATTGTCCAGTTCTAAACCTAACACTACTTGCTAATAGGCGATAGGTGGGGTTTAACTGTAAGGCAAGAGGCTTCAAGCTCATACACTAATACATTGGGAGTTAATTTTATATGATATGTGTACCATTTGCTTCACATTTGGTCCACTTTCTGGCTCACTCACAGAAGTACAGCTAATCTAAGCAGAATTTAGGCTGGGTTGAAATGCAGTCTGCACATATTACTGACAGAACAGGTGATAAGCAAACGTCCCAGTTATCACAGTTTGTATGCAACAATCTCAAGATAGGAAGGGGATAAACTTACTGACAAAAGGACACCATAGGAAATCTGGCTACTTAAAGACACAATGGGTGAGTAAATTCCTTTGAATACGACATGTAGATGAGGACAGTCTGCGTTCAAGTTGAACTTGATTCAGCTTTTCTTGCAATCTCTTTAAAGCAGTGTTCAATTAATTATACCCAGATCCAGTTCTACAGTACCCTTATACACTTAGTGTTCTGCTCTAAAACATCTTATTCAATTCAGTGATTTCTGAAGTCCTTCCAACGTTTTCCCCAAAACGTGTTTTAGGGAACGCAATCTTAAACTACTGTTCAAACATCTAAATATGCAATTTTTTTCATGGGAACGTTTACAAAATGTAAAAATACCAGGTCTACACAAGATGAATGCCAAATATGTCACATCAAATCTAGCCTAACCTGGATTGCATACAAGTACAAATTTCCTTTTTCGAAAAATCCAAAGTGCTTTGCGTTTTGAAAAAGGGACTGAAGAAAATAAATGTAACGTGCAATGTCTTGACATTTTTACAATGACAACACAAATTAGTGCTTTTTGAATTGCCTTCAAGCAATGTTATTGTGCTTGAGTCTTAAAATGTGACTGAGAAACTGTCAAACATTAAGACTAGAAGATGCCCATGGAGTGTCATCAAAAGAGCCATTAGTATGTGAGGCTTCTCAACTCTGTGTTAGTGCACAATGCCTCAGTTTGTCTCTCCAGTGAAAGTTTTCGCAGTTTCGTCGACCTGGGGATCAACGTGGATGGATCACAAGACGTTCAAACAGTAAATCATGGCTCTCTAGTCCTGATCCTGTTGTACCAAAGAGCTGACTGCACAAATAAGTGCTAGAGTTTTCAACAAGGGGCCCACTGTCCTGCACAGTTTCATCATTTCCCTTCTCTACCAAACCAAAAGCTATGTTTACATTACAAGTACCATTGTGGAATTTCAATATTTGGGTCAGATCCCATTTTTCTGCCTTGGTACTAGATGACACCAAATCAGCATGACCTTGTACATGCAAACAGCACACAACCATGATATTTAATGTTAACATATTAACTTGTTTTTTTGTTGTAGATATGAGCTCATTCCAAATCTGATGCCTATAATTAGTTCCAACAAAGTTGGGGCAGGAGCATGTTTACCACTGTGATACATCACCTCTCCTTTTGACAACATTTAATAGTCATTTTAGGACTGTAGACACCAATTGATCCAGTTTTTGAATCTGTATTTTTTGCCATTCATCCATTATACAAGTGCAACTGAAAGGAGCCTTCGCTGTTGTATTTTGCACATCATAATACACCATACATTTTTAGTTGGAGACAAGTAAGGACTGCAGACAGGCCAATCTAGTACCTGCACTCCGATTATGAAGCCATGCTGTTGTAACACGCGTAGTAAGTATGGACATCATCTAGAAGGCAGCATATGTTGCAGCAAAATGTGTAAATATTTTTTTGGAGTTAATGGTGCCTTCACAGATGTACAAATTACCCATGCCATGGCACTAATACACCCCAATACCATGACAGACCCTGGCTTTTGAAATCTGGAAGGTCTATTTCTTCTTTGCAGCAGAAAACACAATGTCCGTTAGTTCCATAAACATCTGAAAGGTTGACTCATCAGACTACAATACACATTTCAACTGTGCATCCGTCCATTTCAGATAAGCCCAGAGAAGTCGGTGGTGTTTCTAGACATTGTTGACATATGACTTCCACTGTACAGTGTACAGTCATAACTAGCATTTGTGGATACAGCGATGAACAGTGTTTCTTGACACCGGTTTGCCAAAGTATTCCCATGTAGTGACATCCATCATAAAAGCATACTGGTTTTTAACGCAGTGGCATCTAAGAGATCGAAGGTCTTGGATATTTGTTCATCGGCCTTGCCCTTAACACACAGAGATTTCTCCTGATTTCCTGAATCTTCTGATAATACTATGCACCGTAGAGGGTAAAAAAACCTGATGACCTTGAAATTACTCATTAAGGAACACTGTCTTAAACTGCTGGATAATTCACCATGGCATTTTTAGCAAAGTGAGCCTCAACTCATCCTTGTTCATGCAGAATTAGGCCTTTCCTGGATGCTCCTTTTATACCCCAGCATGACTGCCATCACCTGTTTAAGACGTTTCAGTTTTTTTAACATTTCACAATGTTCCTAGTCTTAAATTTCCAATTGTCCCAACCTTTTTGGAACATGTTGTAGGCATCAATTTCAGAATAAGCATATATTTAAAAACAATGAAGTTGATAAGTTAAAGTATTAAATATCTTGCCTTTGTAACTGTTTTTGTTTAAGTACAGGTCAAAGTGGATTTCAGGTCACTGCTTCCTGTTTCTATCTGCATTTCACATACTATCCCAACTTTTTTGAGGGTTGTATTTGATCTATGGCCACATATGAAAGTGGCTTAAATCTGAAAGGACCAGACTTTTGTGTGGCAAAAAAAACAAAAAAACAAAAAAAGGAATTAAGTCACTGCAGACATTGCTTGATAATTTGTTGCTAAGAAGAGAAAATGTGAAACTGTGCATGAACCTGCCTGTACATGATTTTTTCAGCTAGTTATCAAGCTCTTCATGAGCTGAATTCTGCTTTTTGAGCTGCAGTCCAGTGGTCTTCCAGACTGCAGTTTGAGCTCAGACATTGTTGGAAAAGGTCTTGCGGCTCACGGTGGGCAGAGGGTGACGCTGACCCCCTCTCCAATCCAGCAGGCAGGGAACAGCTCTTGAGAAAACACGCAATGGAAGGCGTGCAGCCGCACTTGGCCCTCTCCGTAATAGGTCAGCGTTCCAGCTTCGTAGTCTAGTAGCATGCCGATGCGCAGGGGCTGCGTGTGAAGCTGCAACTGTCCAGCTACAGACTCCCTGCGGCCGGCGTGCCAGGCGCTCAGCTGCCTTTCGTCCAGCTGCAGACTCCACGACAGCTCGTTCATTCCCAGCATGCACGTCTTGCCCTTCTCCTTGCGAGGGATGGCCTGATACGTCACCCCGACGTACGCCCACGGCTTGGAAACCTCCAGCTCCCAGTAGTGACGGCCATGGGTGAAGTTCTCAAAACACAGCACCTGCCAGGTGTGGTCAAAGCGAGCCTCGTGAGCAGGGACAGGGCGCGGCCCAGAGGTCAGGTGCTCAGCTCGGCGGTTGCTCTGAGAGAGGAGGAGGTGGGCATTGGCCGTGCGAGGGTCAAAAGTCAAGGAACAACGGTCTGTTACGGGAAAGAAATCACAACACTTAAAAAGAATAATGCACTTTAATACTGTTACAGTACATCCATTATAAACTTGTATCTCAAAAACGATAATGTTACCGGAGAAGGAAATAACATTTTGTTGACAATATGGATTCTAAACTGTCAATCAACATTTTTTAGAAGAGGAGATATTTTAGATATGTTTTATGATTTTAGTTAATTATGGTTGTGTGTTCAACCTTTTTCAACAGGGAGTGCAAATGTGAATGTAAATGTAATTCCTTACGTAATTAATATGTAAATAAGATGCAATTAATTACTCAATTATATAGTTACATTTAAATAGTATAGCAAAATGACAACAATAACTCAATCATAGACATCTAAGACTTGCTTTAAAATAAAGGTTTCACTTTCCTTGAATAGTACATTATAGCCCCTTATAGATTATATGTTAGTGTTCAATAAATTAGCAAACTATATAGTAAAGGTCTCAACAGTGTCAAGAATTAGGATTTTAAGATGCTGACCAGGGAGAAGGTTAGGTTTTGGGTTTAAGGTTAGGGTTAGAGCAAGCATTAAGGTGATTTTAATGGATATTTAGTTGGAAATATGTTAAACATAAAGTGTACTGCACAAATAAAGTGTACTACACAAAAGATAACACCCAATTAATTTTACCTCACAGTAAAATAAACGCAAAGAAATGTATATATTTTATAAACTGAATATTAACATATTATATTTATACCAATTATACACTGTCATGAATCATCAAAAATCCAAACTACTCCTGTACAATCTTGATGTTACTGATAGTCAACTAATGAAGGCCTATGGAAAAGGTTTTGCTATGTAATATGTTAGGGGAAAATTGCTTACATGCGCTGAGGCCTTCCTTTCCTGCTGGATAAGACGGAGTGGCAGGACTTGGTACCACAGCAAGCACTGGCCTTTTGTCCTGAGGAGAGCCTGGAACAGAAGAAAAATGTAAATACACACAAATCAAAAACAAAAATACAACTGGGATCACAAACACACACACCTACAAAAACTACAGTCAGGCTATTCCTGTGAAATGAGCTTCCTCCTTACCTTCCTTGTCATGGCCCACAACCGCATACACAGCTTTATCGAGGTCCTCACACACCAGCTTAGAGACGCGAGACAGTAAGTCTGTGACTGGATTAAGTTTCTCTTGAACGTTCACACTGACATCCACAGGAACCTCACCCATATGAGGAACCTCCACCAGCCTGGAGTCCTGTCAGGAATATATCTGGTGAATTCCACCGTTGACATTATTGCATTTTTACACTATAATATTAGTACATTAACACAATACAATGGCTAATATTATGAATATATTAACAATGTAATGTGGGCAGCACAATATGGACAAAATAATATACTGCATCAAATTAAAACTTTCATATCCCTTGAAATATATACACAAAACAGTGATTAGACAATTCATTTATTCACATGAATTTCTTAATTCCTTCTGGATTTTTTGTGATTTAATAAAGGGCTTATTTATATCAGCATTGCAAAAGCAAACACTGCAATAATGATAAGCTTGAGATTATAAGAGGTTATTACATTCTATTATTACTCAGTAATTACATGGACTACAATGCAAACTGGGCTACTCTTTAGTTACAGAAGTGTGCAATAAATGTTTGGACCATTAAAAAGGTTTGTGCATTTAAGGGATACTGAACAATACATTATGTAGCCCTAGCCTGATCTGCTCAAGGTAATCTGTTACCAAATGTGGCTAAAAATCTGTTGGCTCGAATCTGGAACCTGTATGAGCAGGCAGTCAGGAAGAGCACAGAGGGTGTTGATTTGCTCCTCTAGCTCCAAAAGCTGCTGAGCCTTCTCCTGCAGCTCGCTGAGCCGAGCCTGCGCCTGGGACAGAGCGCTTTCCTGCTGCTGCTCCACAAAGCTCTGCGTCAGCTCCTGCTTCTCCACCAGCACCTTTAGCAGCTGCGTGAACTTCACATTCACCCACTGAGACGTCTGCTGCAGTGAAACCTAGGACAGTAACATCAAGGAGGACGCCTTCAGCTTACAATCATCACCACTTGGACGGCTGTTGGCTCTAATGATGCAGATAATATATCATATTGTTTCTGATAGTTAAGTTCTTCCTTTAGAATAATATTGTTCTGGTAAAATTGGTGCTGTTTTCTTGCCTTAGCTTTAGCGATGTTCTCACTGAGCTCCAAAATGTTCCGCTCTGTGTCCTCCCTGCACTTCTTGACCTCCATTCCCTTCTTCTTCAGGCCTGCCTGTCAATCAGAATAAGACCACAAAAGCAAATTAAAGGGGAACTCCTTTGATTTTCCTAAATGTCTTTGTAAGTCAATTGTTGAGATGTAAACAAAGTCATTCAGAGTGGTTTGATATGAAATGCTGCGTTCTAGAGTAAATCGGAACTGTTCACAGTGGTGATGATAGGAACTAGACGTATGAAGAGTTTAATGCCTCTGAAACATGCATGTCAAACTGGGGACTTTCTGGGCCAAAGTGCTGCAGAGATTTAACATTTACCATCATTTAGTGCTCTGAATTCAGTTCATGAAGGCCTTGCTAATTAGCTGATGAGCTGAATCAGGTGTGTTTAATAAGGCAGTGTGCTGAAGTCTGCAGTGTTCAGGCCCGAGAGGGCTGGAGCCTGACGCGCATGCTCTAAAAGCTACATCATAAAACATTATTACATTAAATCATTATTAATACACCGCCTGGTGTGTGAGACATTGTTCTGTGGCAGTTTTAGACAAACTTTTCAGATTTATCACTATTTTACCATTATCAACATTACATATAAATACTCATTCAACAAGACATGTGTAGGTTCACTGGTGGTTTTGGAAAGTTAATAAATTGGCTATATTTGTGTTGTAGACATAGTGACCCCTGGTTCCCATCACCACCATTGTAATGAAATCTGAGTCTCTACAATGAACCTTTTAACATCAATCCACTCTGAATGACTGCTCAACTATTATTACAATTATGCATACAATTTGAAAAATCAGTGGAATTGCCCTTTAAGGCGTATTTCTTTTGATAGCTCTTACACTTAATAATGTAGTTATAACTACAATTTTTTTGGTATTACATGATAAAGAGAGAAAAGTTACAACAATTGTGATGACTGATCATGTGGCCAGGCAGCAGCATGTAACTTACAAGTAAACTATAAAAAACACAAACTATTGCAACTCTACTGGTAGGAACAAAATCAGAGAAGACTTGTTATTACCTCTCGGCTACTCCTCTCCTCCTCAATCAGGACCTTGTCATGGCTCTTGCACTCATTCACGGCGCACGCACAACATACACACATGCCGTCGTTCCTGCAGTACATGACAAGGGGCTTCTGATGACGCCCGCAGAACTGCTCAGGTCCAGCTTTGGCTGCATCGCCTCTACATGAAGCACTGTTGTCTTTCACCCCAGTGCTGTTAGCAGTAACTTCAGTCAGAAGAGACAGGGACACGTTGCGTTTCAGTGTGGGTCTGCTGGGAAACGTCTCATTGCAAACTGGGCAGTTGAATTCAGCAGGCTGAGGTCCCACTTTCTCTCTCTGATCCCAGTGTCTGGAGATACAGTCCTTGCAGAAAGTGTGGCCACATGGTATCGTCACTGGGAACTTAAAACGCTCCAAGCAGATGGCACAGCTAAGATTGTGTGCCTCCATCACAAGATCTGCCTACCTGTCAAGTAAATGACACACAGGACACACAGTGTCACTGATGTGAGGCACCACTCTTATGAAGCACCAATAGCTACTTGAGTGCAAATCAGGGCCCCTCTGGAATCTCTAGCCTGCAAAACATGAGGAGCTTCGCATCTAAAATGCAGACCAGACTAATACACTTTGACACAAATCATTAAAGGGCTCATATCTGACATTTGTCTCATAATTTATTTTTTCCCTGTGGTCCACTTATTACATTGGTTTGCTTAAATACCAAGAACAGTCCTTATTCATTTTTACATGACCATTTTCCAATTTTCCAACTATCCCTTAGAATTGAAAAGGCTGTAAGACTTCTGTAAGACTGATCTGTGTAAGTGATCTCTGCTCTGTTTGGCTGCCCTGTATTGTGCATATTCAAAAAGCAGTTCAGACTAAAACGTTGAAAGCATATATTTGTCTAAAATGTCTTTGTGTGCTGCAGCATTAACATTATGCTTCACTAGAACTAAGGGACTGAGGCCAAACCCTGAAAAAGAGAAGTAGATTCTGAATGATTCATCAATCCTAAGAGCTAGACTGCAATTTTAGCAATCAAATTTACATACACTGATCCTTATCAAGAAACTTTTTTCTTTTTCCCCCATTCATAGTGGTCAGAGCTGAAAGATGACAGAAATGATTTCAGTCATATCATTTGGTATTTGCTGTATGACTACAAGTAGCTATCACACCACACTGCAGAAACATGCATCTTCAACATGCATTTCTTTGTAACCTTTTTTCACGAGTGTTTAGCTGGTAAGTAATGAAAGATGATCAGTTTTGCAACAACGTTTTCATTCAAGCAGATAAATGTTCACTATCAATCATTTCATTCGTATATTAGTGAGAGGAAGAATATCGATCATATTGATCATACATTAGGAATCGTATCAATCATTTCGATTGTATATTAGCGAGCAGAATCATATCAGTCATATCAAGCATACATTAGTGAGAGGCATCTTATCGATCATATCGATCCTACATTAGTGGGAGGAATCATATTGATCGTATCAATCGTACATTAGTAGGAGGAATCATATTGATGGTACATTAGTGAGAGTAATCGTATCGATCATATCAATTGTACATTAGTCAGACGAATCTTATAGAACATATCAATCGTACATTAATGAGAGAAATCGTATGGATCATGTTGATCGTACATTAATGAGAGAAACCGTATCGATCACATCGATCGTACATTAATGAGAGAAACCGTATCGATCACATCGATCGTACATTAGTGAGAGGAATCATATGGATCTTTCATTAACGAAAAGAATTGTATCATCATGACACTTAAAACATCGACAAATATGAAACCGTTGCTTTATAATCGAAACAGCATCCTGACATCTAGACACCTAATATCTATCTTTCAAACTGGCAAAGCTAAGTGAGAGACAGGCTTTGGTTTGACAACAAGCCTGAAATCAGCTTCTTGTTCGAATTTTCTCGTTCCACCTTAAATGGTGAAGCTGTTACATTCAACGGGTGCATCTTTTAAGGTGGAACGGGAAAATTCTAACAAGGCTGGCGAATATGAAGCTGACTTCAGCTTCGTGGTTTGACAGCTATCTAGCTAGCTAGCGTTAGCTAGGTTAGCTAACACCGGGGCAGCTAAGCAGCGTTTTTCTTGGTCTTTAGCGACAGTGGATAACAAAAGTCCACAAGAGCGTCTTTCATCACCTACTGAGATTTTTCCATATACAACACAGTCTGATTAACTCACCACACTTCGCCAAAATACTGTATGATGCGATGTAAACTGGAGAAAATTCACACAACTGCACAGTTGCTGACGTAGTACGCAGAAGTGTTGTACGTATGTGTGCTGTCGTCACTCTCTGTGTGTGTTCGAAGATGGCGCTGCAGAGGACAGTGGGGCGAATCTGGCGCATTGGGGCAGATTTAGGGGTCAAAAACAACGCCAGGCTCTTTTCCACAGCAGGTGAGTGACGATGCAATGATATGTTTAATGTTTCTGGCATTTTAGCCTCACTCGCTGTATGTTTCATCCGTGATTCGAGCTGTCTCTGCTCCGTTTAGTCTGTGATGCTAGCAGAGCAGATCAGAGCATGGCAGATGCTCAACCTAACGCTAAAGGGAAGTTCCACCGATTTTTCTAAATTTCTGAATAATCCAGTCTTGAAATGTAAACAGAGTCATTCAGAGTGGTGTGATGTGAAGGGGATCATTGTGGAGAAACTTACAGACTCAGATTTCTTTACAGCAGTGGTGATAGGAACCAGGGGTCACAATGTCTGCAACACAAATATAGCTATTTTATTTTCTATCCAAAACTATCAGTGAGCCTTAAGCCTGATTGTCAAGTCAGTTCGTTTTTCACTGTTATGACAGAGTGCCATCACTGGCCCTTCCCTCAGTATTGGCCGCAGCCACTTGTGTTCATGGCCCAGTGTTTGAGAAACCCGGCTATATAATATGTCTGACTGACTAAAACATGTCTCCTCTACACTTCTTAGACCCAAAAGGATGAATCACTAACTGAAATGTCAGGGTTTTACCACCTAAATTTGTGGCTGTGGTAACCAGCCTGTCAGAGAATAAAGAACTGTTACATGTGCCATGTTGTTTGTTTGTCTATCCAGAATGTAGCTAACGTGCTTTCTTATGTCACTCTTTCCAACATCTGCAGCTGTATTATGTCGCCGGGCCGCTCCGCTGGGTTCCATGCCGAACGAAGACATAGACTGGCAGAACCTGGAATCACTGGAAAAATATCGCAGCTACACACGCTACCTCACAGTGGCGGAGGAGGCCAATAATAAAGAGGTGTGGTGGAAGACGTACAGGAAACATGTAGAGAAGCAGTCTGATGCAGGTAAATGCTCCTTTTGTGATATTAAATGAAACCAAGACATGAAACAGCTCAGCTGACTTAAGTGTCGCCAAGTCTGCTGTAGCCTGCATACTTCATGAACTGAGGGTCATTGTGGCCTAGTTCGTGTGTTGTGAAAGATCAGCTGTTAAATATGACACTTCTTAAAGCCAGTTTCATGTTTAATTTTCATTCTTGCTATAAGTATAATTTGTCTGTGTGTTTAGGTTTGGAGCCAGTGAACATTGGGCTGCCTCACTGCCGGCCCTCTAGAACAAAAGAGGTTAGAGAAAGGAAGAGGGTGATGAGGGAAAACAGACAGAACCCTGACCTGGAGAGAGCCACTCGTCTGCGTACCTGTACGTCTTCTTGTTTCATCTCACTGTCTTGATATAACCCAGATTAAACCTAGCCTGATGAACACAGCTCTGCTGAGATTAGTGTTTCTCTCATTTAACACTCTGAATTTAGCTGATGAAGGCCTTGATAATTACCTGGTGAGTTGAATCAGGTGTGTTTAGTGAGGTAGATCGCTGACCTCCTCAGTGCTGTGTGTGCATTAAAGGGGCATTCTTTGATTTTTTTTTTAAAAAAAAGTAATTAAATGGTTACGATGTAAACAGTCATTCAAAGTGGCTCGACATTAAACATGCCGAGTCAGAATCTGTCAGTCTGTTTACAGTAGTGGTGATGGGAACCAGATGTCTGAAGTGTTTAATGCCATTAAATGTTACCTCATAAAAAAGTTACTACATGAATTGATTACATGAAATCGGTGGTATTCTCCTTTAAAGAGTCCATATGGGGGCTTACTTTTTTTGTTCTTCACTCTCATCACAGCATAACTTGCATATTAGCCTCATAGTAGTTACTAAATAATGTATAGTACTCACTGAGTAAGTTTTAGGATTACAAACTCAGTAATAAGACTAGGGTTCGTTTGAGTTTACAGTTGAACATTAGGCCTACACTGGAAATCACCACAGAGCCAGAACTGTTACCAAGATACATTTTGATTTTATTTATTTATTTATGTATTTATTTAGCCATTCATTTATTTATTTTCAATTTCCATTCTAGTTCGCGTTCCCTTAGACAGAGTAAAAGCAGAATGGGAGAAAACAAATGGACCTTACCACATCCAGAGACTGGCAGATCACTACGGAATCTACCAGGACCTCTTCCCCATGGCCTTTTTTGTGCCGAGAGTCATGCTGAGGGTGACATATGGAGATGACAACAGTGCTGCGGTGCATTACGGCAATCATTTATCACCTACTCAGGTTAGACTTGAGCAGAAAACTGTTTCTTGCTTACTGTAGTCTTCGATACTACTGGGGTGTTTAAAAGTAAATTAATAAGTTTGTTTGTTCCCCCTCCCCTACTACTACTTTTGATTTCCAGGCTTCAGTAGCACCTCACGTAAGCTTTGAGGCAGAAGAGAACTCTCTCTGGACGTTGCTTCTAACAAGCCCAGGTACACAAACTAACTTGAATATTGAGGTGTCAGTATCCAGTTTGAATACTGCACAAAAAGTGGCTTTTATATAATAGTAACTGCATGAATGCATCCATTAAAATAGGAAAGTATGCACATATACTACATTCCTGAGAGTTAAACTTGGTGATCTTGGTGCAGTCATGCTTGTTTTATCAATTCCAGACAGACTTTACCTTTAGGATGCTGAGCATGGTATGAAGTTTAGTTAACAACTTAAATACAGAGTGTCTCACTGCCTATGTATTACCTTAACTTTCAGCTAAACAGTGTTGATTGCCTGCCTTTTTGGTTAAGTGGCTCATTTGTGTAGGAAGGCAGTTTTGTTGTCCTTCATTATCAGTTTTAAGCTACACCACAAGATGGCGATCTAAGCTCTGTGGAGAAAGTTGGTACAAACCACAAATCATTTGTGGATCTGTTTTGGTTTGTTTTCCAGATGAGCATTTGCAGGATGGTGAGAAAGAATATGTGCATTGGTTGGTGTGAGTATTAATGCTTAAATTCATTTTCCTCTGGCTGTTTGAGAAAAAAATTGTCACACACTGCAGCACTGAGTGTTACCTGTCTGTTATTTGATGTATAAATGAATGAATAAATAAAAAAGTCCTTTGTTTTTCACAGGGGTAATATTCGTGGGAATGCTGTACAATCTGGGGAGGAAGTCTGTCATTATATCGCACCATTTCCCTCCAAGGGCACAGGCTTCCAAAGATATGTGTTCATCCTGTTCAAACAGGAGGCACATGTTGACTACAGTAATGATGTCAGACCCTCTCCCTGGTGAGATGATGCTTATCTAATGACCTGTTAAGTACTACTTTTAGAACTTTAATTTCTCATGATTATTCCACTGTGTAGCCAGTAAAAAACTGGTTCTGTATTCCGAGAGAAGAACTGGTTCTGCATTTGAGTCTTAGTTCCTCTCACTGTTTCTTCCTCGGGAGAGTTTTTTTTGCCACTTTTAGCCTCAGCTTGCTCATCAGCTTGCACCTGGATTAAAACTGCTTTGTAACAATGTCTATTGTAGAAACAAAGGCTTAAATTAGAATAAACTGAAATAATTTTAAATGAACCCCCTTTAAAAACATGATCTATTAATGCAGTTCATATATGACCACATGCTGATTATTTGTGCTTCAGGTGCACCATTATCAAATGGACTGTCAAAGCTGTTATATGCTAATGTGTGGGCCTGTAATTAGATTTGTTTTGAACCTGTACAGATACTGCAATTGCCTTTGAGAATGTATTCAGTTTTTTGACAGTGTTTTGTTTGTGTATGTGTTTACTCATGTAGTTATTGTCTGAAGCAGCGAAGCTTTAAGACAGTGGAATTTTACAAGAAACATGAGGAGCTAATCACTCCCGCCGGGCTGGCATTCTTTCAGAGCCAATGGGACGAGTCTGTCACCAGCACCTTTCACACACTGCTAAGTAAGTCACACACACACTTACAGTGATGAAGTTACATAACAAATCGTTAGTTAATGGTTAGTTAAATGTATCTTCCAGTGCCGATTTATAAATTTGTAGATATTGAACCTACCTGGATTAGCCTGACAGAGAAGTGTAACACTTATTTACAGAGGTCTACAAAAGCAGTAAAATGAATAAAATGCAGGTATTCTAGTAATTTTTAGGACCCCAGCGTCATCCATAGTATCAGTCAAATGTAAACATGTATTCAGTGTCAATATTTTTTATTATTAATTTTTTAAAGCAAATCTCCTCTGATATCGATATGGTTGTTAAATCGTTGTGTGACCCCACATACTGTCCTTAAAGACAACAGGTCCATTTTTCCTTTATTTCATAAATGTTTCAGTGTATACATTAGAAAATGTTGCCATTTCCATATTCAGGGACATTTTCTTCGAGACAGATTTCTTCAAATATTTGTAGTGAAAATTGCACACCACACAGAATAATTGCATACCATACAGCATAAGAGTCCTTAGTACGTTGCTGTTGATTGAAAGGCTAAGACAGATCCAGTATCCAGAATGCTACAGTGACGCATGCAGTAACACATCAATAAGACTAAGGAATAAGAATAAGGTTAAAGCACTGAGTGGTTTGTTTTCCCTGTTTTTAATTAGGCTAAGGAATTGGTTTAAATAAAACATTTTCCATTTAACACAATAAATGTAGGACAATAAAGAAATAAACAATGAAAAGATGTAAGTAAATTTATCTGCACAGTACTTGTTTGCACAAGAACACACCTTCTTTAGCTTGTCCTCAGAGTAAACATTAAGGACAAAAGAGTTGTTGTTGTTGTTGTTGTTTAATAGAGACACAAGTCAGATTTTGTGTTTCTTGTCTCGCGTGACCACCATTTGACTAGATAATCCTGATTGTCTGAATGCCTTTCTGCGCTGCTCTCTATTCTTGTCTTCATGATAGGCATCTTTAGCGTCAATGTGGGTTTATAGGGGTCAAAGCATGTAAGCAAAGATATGCAATTTTGGTATATTTTTGCGACTTCAATGGCCATATTTCTTTTTCTCTCTTAGTTTGTCCACACTAGCTTTCCACACACATGTTCTCTTATATTCTTTTTACATCTAAAGTAGTGCAGATAGAGGTTTTAGATAGTCTCACTAACTTTCAGTTTTGGACTGGAACTGGAACTGTCCTTTTCCCAACACAGATGATCTATAAGGACTGACGTTTCACTTACTTATATACTTAAGGCCTAATATGTAATGCAGCACAAACATCTGATTTCTTGCAGTAGTTTTTGATTAAATATAGTTTTATTATCTGTCAGAGTCCCAGAATTTGAGTTACCAGCACAGAGAATAGCTACTGTAGAATAGTAGGTTTAGCCACTGTTCTTGCTTGTTTTAGTGGAGTGCAGAATTATGTGTATTTCTAAATCAGCACCAAACCATATGAACAGGTTAGAGTTTAAATGCATTCCAACTCTGTTGTGGAATATGTGTGGGTGGCTGGCATGGTTTAGTGCCCAAAATGTTTCCCAACCTCTTTCATTTTTGCAGAAGGGGAGGTCTGTATTTCCATAAGCTTTTGAAAAGTAATGGCTGTAAGAAATTAAAGAACACAATGGCCCTCATTCACCAACCGTTCTTAAGAGGAAATCACTTCTTAAAACCCACTTATGTAATTTTCATAAGAATTCTGACATTCACTCAAGTTTTCTGATTTGGGAATAATTCTTAGAGAAGAACAGAGTCTACGCACACGCAAGAGTACAAAAGTGCGAACGGTTTACGAACACGCCATGAATCTGACGTAGCCTTTTTCTTAGGACCTTTGTCAAGAACAAATTTACGGAAAAAATATTTGTATTTATTTATTAATTTTTTTTTTTACCAATGATTGTGGTTTTCTGCACCTTGGAATCAAGTAAATTCACTGCATTACTCTTCAGTTTACTTGCTTAAACAGTATTTTTAAAAGCTGTCCTAGCACATTTTACAAGCTGAAATTAAGTAGAGACAGTGGCTAAAGTCATGTTCCTCTCCCCAGATATGCGAGAGCCAGTGTTTGAATACGACAGACCTCCTGTGTACCATCCACCCCAGCGCAAATACCCTCATGGACAACCACTCCGATACATGGACCGCTACAGAGGAGGAAAAGAGCACACCTATGGGATTTATTAACCCCACAATACATAAGTTAAAAAGTTTTAAGAACTGGAGTTCAAAAATGTGTTAAAAGATAAAGAGAAAAAATTACTTCTACCCAGCTGAGCAAGACGTGGTACACTGTCACCATCAGATAAACAGCACTTAAAGCTTTCATCTTTGAGAAAGAGGAGAAAATCAAGCTCCACTCTTGCCTTAGATCTTCCACAGGTGTTTCTGTCCATCCTTCCACTGTGAGAAGACAACACTATGGGTCTGAAAGGATGTGTAGCTGTCAAGAGGCCCTGAGAAAAAGAAACAGATGGAAAAGTGGAAAATTTGCCAATTAAACAAGGAGCTGCTGGTGTTCTCAGAACAATGGACTGTCCACTTCAGAGTCCAGACCTCAACATCAAGTGTGTTTAGGATTGCTTGGATTGTCAGAAGCAGAAAATGCAACCAGCTTCTAAAACTGAACTTTGGTGTGGAAAAATATCCCTACAGATTTATTTGAAAGCAAGTCTCCCAAAAGGAATAGCGGCTATAATAAAGGCAAAGAGTGGACACGTTGAATACTGACGATTTTGATAATTCGTTCCCGAGGTTTCAATGTATTTTTCTGTTAAATGTATGTTTTTTTTCCATGCATAACTTCTACTTAATGGTAATTTTGACCGAAAATAAAATGAATGAAGGGTGGTCTCTGACTTTTGCACAGTACTTTGATTATGCCACTGTGGAGCCCTGCATGTGTAATGTCATCTGATATGTTGTAAGGGCCAAATCACAGTCCTTTCAGATGCAGTTATTGTCAGTACTTGTCTTCTGTCAATCTTTGTTGATCTTCAGACAAAGCAAGATTTACATTAGATATGTCTTTAAAGCTAAATGTAGACTAAACTAACTGGAGGAAGCATTAGCAAGTGCCTCTGGGACAGTGAGTGTTGCGTGTGATTCTGCATGTGTGTGCGCAAAAAAATCAGTTTCATTTTGTGTTTGATGAATGAACTCATGAAATCCCTGCCAGTTGATATCTGAGGCCCCAGAAAAGGACATCCTGAGAAAAGAGGATGTATGGTCTTGTATTCTAGGCACTACCAGCTGTGCTCTTGGTCCTGTTCCATGACCACCACCATCAATGTCTTGCTTGAAAGCTTAAGTGATATGTGATAAGTATTTTTTTTTTTTTTACGTTTTGAATGCTTGGGCAACAGTGTAACTTAATATGGCCGTGGCAGTACAGCTTCTTTGAAGTGAATTGAACCAAACGGCTTGTAACGTGGGAAAGTTTAATTTAATCATGTAATTATTGTCCCTCTGCCCCCTGCACTTTTGATGTCTTACTCTCACTCCATTGTATTACAAGATGAGTGCTTTTAGCTTCATTTTAGAACCTTTGGTTAAGTCTGTTGTTCCCTAAATTCAGTTCAGTTCAGTTTAAAGAAGCCCTATTAGCATGACCGTATTAAATTACAGTGTTGCTAAAGCATTCAAAACTGTTCCATACATCACTCTCCCTGTTCATGGAAGGAGGTTCATTTATTGAGTGCAAAACACTTTTGTTGTCACACACATACTGAATCGCAGGTAATGCTTGTATTTCCTCATCATGCCACAAGATGCTACTAGCGCTTACATGTGCCAGAGCGTTAGCTCTGGTGTTGCGCTGTGTGGAGGAGAGAGGGCTCAGCGCCAGTGGTGAAACTTTCTCTAGGTACTTCCAGCTGGGAAAGTCCAGGCTGGGAGTGCGTCCTCTGTTTTAATTTGTTTAGACTGCTAAGGGAATTTAGAAATCCCAGCAAAATGTGTTTTTAGGTCGTAAAAAAGGACATGGTCTGGAGAAAAACCCTTTATCTGGGTTCTGTAATCGAGTGCCCTAGGTCCAGTTCCGCCATACACAGTACTTCCTTCCTGAAACCACACCATTGCATTAGAATGTCTTCGGACCAATTTGTCAACATCTACTTTAAGTGTTAGTTAAAAAAAATTGTAGTTTACATAGAGTCACTTTGCACACACTTACTGCTTATTATTGTGGATTTTTCATTTTTCTACACCGTTGGAACTCAGCAGCTGTCCTTTACATTGTGTAAAGAAAATTTATGATGAGTGGACTGGAAATGCTCCAACGTCGCTTGGAATAGAACCTCTTTACATTAACTTACACTAAAAGTTAAGACCACTTATGTCTTCTCTTGTCAAGTTACCATTTGGAAGATATTTTCCTTTGGACAATAACAATAGTCTCTCCCCTTATCCTAACATAGAGTTGAACAGTTAAGACATTTGTTTGATGTTTCATGAGTTGCTTCTTTAATTTTACACTGGAGCTTCAAGGTTAACTTAATGGAAGTCTATATCACCCAAAACGACCTCTATGGCCTGTTGGCTACATTAGCCTCACAGCTCCAGTGCAAAACTAGTAAAATTCAAATGCCAAAGATGTGATTGCTATTTGACTGTGCTTGGAGTAAGGGAAAGCTGATTTTTCACAGTAATTTATTACTTATAACTGTGGGCAGTTCCAGACTTCCTTTCCTCACTCCTATAACTAAACACAGTGTATATAAATCTGTAAATGTACTGGGCCAGTTTCCCAGACAGGAATTAGGTCTGATCTTGCACTAAACTGCAGTGTCAATGGTGAGTCACCAATAGGCTTAGCCTTAACCTTCCTATTTCCTTAGGGTTCCTCATTTTTTGCTTCATATTAAATGACTTTTCTTGATTTTGACATAAAATTAACATGATTTTATGTTTTCAAAGTCCTGTACAAATTTTGTATGCATCAGTGTTCTTTGGGGTCAGTTTGACCCCAAGCTATTTTAAATAAGGCTGTATAAAACATGAGAAATATCATTTTACACACATTTGTTTTGGTTGTTTTATATAATATTGGTGTCACTATAACATGCAATTTTTTATTTTCTTCAAAAACCTCCCCCTGCTTTAGGGCCCTAACCTAACATAACCGCACCTGTAGTAGTGTGAGAACCAGTGATAGTTCACACAGTGTGACACAGTGTGACCAAAACTATGATACTTTCTGGAAGTTAAAATTGCAGGCATTAAATTGACCCCAATGATAAAAGATGTTAGTAAATCTGAGGATAACAGGAGGCATAATCTGGACCTGTGAAACTGGCTCACAGAATCGTAAGCCTTATGATTTGGGCCAGTCTGACAGAGCAGGTCTGCATGAAAAATTTCCCTAGTTAACATTACTTCCAGATATACATAGTTTCCAGTATCACCACTCTCAGCAGTTTCCCACATAAAGCTAGCTTGAATTTACCTAATCAAGCTTTTCAGTTACTGTTTGCCAGTGGGTTTTAACTCACATTACTTAATTTATTTTTCTTACGTTTACTGACTCCGCTATTCAAAGCAGTTGTCTGGGCTGTGTTAGAATAGTTTAGTGAAACTTTCTTTCCTATCTGCTTCTCCTGAACTTGCCTAAGGCCTTACTAAATATGCTCACAGAGCTGACCAGCATGGGGATCCACATGGCTATCAGGTCAGCCACATCATGACAGAAGATAGAAAGGGAAGTTTCATCAACTATCCAGATCCAGATTCGACTAGCCTGCTTTTCATTGTAACGTCAGGAGAAAAAGAGGTTGACGTCACTCAGAGAAAACAGCTTGCTGAACTCTGATCAAATGGTATGGTTTAGAAAACATGTTGGTGGGCTTGGAGAATTTACATGCTGGAAACTCCAGACCTTTCTTTGTTCCTGTGATAAGAACACAGAGGAAAGGGGAAAAAAATAGAAAACAGAAAACAAAATCAGGCAGGAGACAGCCCGCCCTTGGCTTTCATCCTGGGCACAATTATGGATATTTTACTCATGGTCCAAAGACAGGGACAGACAGCAGATAGACTTTCCCGGGTTTTCCATGCAACATCTGTTCAGCCAATTGATGTCATATGGAAAATCCAAGATTTTTTTTTTTAAATTTGATCTAGATTTTCTTATTTGCATTGCCTGAACCTACTGAATACAAAATTCCTCACATCAGCTGAAATTATAGCTGTTTATTCAGCTGGTTAACAACGTCCCTCAGCTAATGGAAAAGAAAAAGACCTGAGGAGTATTTATTTTAGTCATAACTCCTCTTTTCATTGTTTTAAGTCTCAGTTCCTTTCACTGTTTCTTCCTCAGTTTCTTAAGGAGTTTTTTCCTTTTAAGTTTTGGTGCTTCTTCAAGAGTTTTTCATTTTGCGCTTTGGTTGCTTTTACTGTTTCATCCTCAGTTTCTATTTGAGTCTTGGTTCCTCTCAGTGTTTCGTTGTCATGCTCTTAGAGACTTATTCCTTACCACCGTCGCCCTCGACTTGTTTGCGGGTTCAGATGCAGATTTCTGTAAATCTGCTTTAAGACAGTATCTGTTGTAAAAAGCGCTCTACACTTAAGCATTTTTACCATTTGTGGAAATCTTGTTTACAAATCTTTTGGGCTCTAATCCAAGGCTTCTTCTGGAGGCTTTGCCCTGAAGTATAACAAATAAGTAATAACAACTTGCAAGCTTCCTTTCTGTAGCAAGTTTATTATAGTTACACAGAGGAGTAATAACCTTGCAAAACAAATGGTGCACAGTTTTGACCGAGACTGGGTCAGTGAGTGTTTAATTTGCCTCCTCTGGTCATTTGCCTCCATCAGTCATTTGTTATTTTTATGTATTTGTTTGTTTGTTTGTTATAGTTTGTGTACATCTGTCCTTGTTAATGACCTCCCTGTTTCTGTTGGCCTGTTGGCCTCTTGGCTTTTTATTGCTTTAATTCAGCACAGTGGTGGAAAGAATGTCACAAAAGGTTTAAAGTACTGGTAGAAGACATCCCATCGAGATTGGACGAACTACTAGATTTGGCATCCGTTGTATAAAGGTTACAAATAGGTAAAGGAAAGCAAGGAACAACACATTGCTGAACAAAATATTTGAGTAAGATTAGTACTTTTTACACAAGCAACCTGCACATCTCTTCTACAAATGAAAACTAACTATTCAGCTCAAAGTGTTGCCAGTAGCAATGTTGCACCTCACCTGGGAGAGATTCTCTGTAACAGACTTGATGGGCTTGTTGTAACTGTTGCCCAAAAAATCTGGTAAGTTGATGTAAACCAAATTAATGGCCAGGGATGTCATTATTCTTGTATCTAACAGAGAGTGGACTCCCAAGAATCACCACAGCAGCATGATGTGCATGGACTGTCCACTCCCATTCACTAACCTGTCCCCTTCACCCTTACAAACAGCAGCCTTACCTATAGGGGATACACAACTAGCCGTAATAGTGGTCAGCACAGACTATATAGTTCTTTTTAATAAGCAGTCTAGCGACATCTTTACATATTGACTGACTCACAGTAAAGACTTTTGTTAGTTTCACAGAAAAGAGTTGGAAGGCATAAAACTATACCATTTTTAACCAAAGTTCACTGAGGAAGTAATAAAAAGAGACAACGGCAAGAACAAACAACGGTCCCATCTGCATTATGCACGTAAGCCCTAAAAGGCCATGGATTTGCATATTTTATTTAAGGCCTAATCAGGCACACTTGCATATGCCAGCGAATTGTGACAAGCAAAAATAACTGTAATTTCAATAGCATTCACTGCAATGAGCGCTTTGTGTTGAGTTCAACTTTGTTGAACTTTGACAAGAGAATTTGTGTGTTCGACTAATAACGCTCACGCT